ATTTTATTATATTTTTATATCTCTATTTATGAAAAAAAGGAGTCAAAAAGAATTAGATTTAATTTTAATACATAACACCATTATAAAGATGGGAAAAAGGAAAAAAAATTAAATAAGTGCATTGAAGCTCAATCCAAACCTTAACCAAATCGAAAATTAAGCCGAACCGAATTGAGCTCCATAAAAACTGATCAGGTCTCAATTATAAATAAAATAAATGATTCGATTCAATTTAATTTTTAGCCAAAATCAAACCCATCTGAGCCTGTGAACATCCTTACCTACCCTCCAGCTCCAAGCTAGACTCTCGGGATAGTTTTGACTTTTGACCAAACATTTTAGACATGATGATATAAACGGGTCCCACTGGGAATGGGCGTCCACGGTAATCTTGGGAGCACATTTTGTCATTTACACACATTCCTTGAATTATTATTCCATAGTTTTCAATCCACTTTAGACTATCAATTTCATGCCCTACAAATTGGCGCCCCTACCATCAGGTATTTACTCCTTCAATCATTTACACTCTTCAGATACTTCGTGCAGATTTAATTCAATATTTGATATTCGATGCTTTCAAATACTAAGGACAACAAACTTGCGCACAATTCTATAAATTTTTTAACATTTTTAATTAAAAATATGTTTTACAAGCTCATTATTTTATAAAATTTTTAAAAATGAATTATTATTTTTACATGATTGAATTTGCATCCTCCTTAATCAACAAAATAAAAGCTTTAAAGTTGTGTTTGGATGGGTAGATTTAAGTTGGAAATTTATATTTAAAATCTCATATTTAAAATATTATATTTTAAATTCATAAATTCTAAATTCTTTGTTCAAATGATATGAAAAATTTTAAATTATAATATTAAAATTTTTTGTTTGGATTTAAAGTAAAATTTTAAATTTTAAATTCTATATTTGAATTTAAAAGAAACTTGAAAGATTGGTCAAACCCGACAATTTAAATGGCCAACTTCCAACGAAATAGGACAAACAAAGCCAACCGAATTGTGGCACCAATGATGACTAGGATGAGACCACTGACTTCCATCGAATCAAACTGAAGGCTACAATGAGGATGAGATGACTGACTTCCACTGAGATTGGATGGACGATTACAACAGGGACAGGATGACTGACTTCAACTGGCACAGGACTGACGATGACGACGGGGCTTGAATGACTGACTTCCATAGGAACTGGACTGATGGGGACAAAGCGGAATGAATGGATGACTTCTACCAAGATTGAATCGATGGAGACAATGAAAACCAGACAACCGACTTCTACTAGCACTGGATCAGACTAACGGCAACGGCTATGGCGACCAGACTAAAGGCAATGGAGACGGAAGGCGGCCATCCGGTCCTTGCCATTACTGTCGATTTGGTTTTGGTGAAAGTTGGTTGTCCTATTCTTATCATTTGTAACATCCCAATTTAAATTTTAATAGTTAATTTTGGTTAATAGAAATTTAAAAAAAAATATTTAGAGGTAAGCAATTAGTAGAAAATGATTATTAAATCTAATTTAGGATATAATTTTAAATTAAAATTAAAAAATAAAAAAATAAATATTAATTAATTAAAAAAATAAATAAATAAATATTATTAAATTATTATTATTATTATAAAAAGAAAGAAAGAGAAAAGGTATGAGAAAGAGGAAGGAAAGAAGGAAGAAATGCGATCAGCTTTCGGTGCAATGATTATGTATATAATAATAAAAAAAAAGGGGAGAGAGAGGAAAGAAGAAATAATAAAAAAAAGATATGAGACCCACTAAATTTTTATAAAACTCACCTGTTTCCTTCATTTCTTCATTCTTTCCTTCGTGGTGAGTTGAGGTAGAGAGCGTCTGTGAGCCAAGTTCACCGGTGCTGGGTTTTAAGGTAAGAGTTTTTAATAGGATATTTAGGGTGTGATTTTAAGCTTTTCAAGACTAAGTAAGTGTTCTAAAATTTTTTCTTAGTCATCCTTCTTCTTTAGTTTTTGATTTTGTAGTGGTAGAAAATTTAAGATTGAAAGAGGGATGAATTTATGTTGAATAAATATGGTTTTGAGGTTGTTAGTAGTATAATAAATATTCTAGAGTATAAATTTATTGATGATCTTTGAATTTGTGGCTTATGGATCAAATTCTAAACTAGATCTGAAAATATATGTTAATTTATTGAGGTTTAGATGATTATTTGGGATGAGAAATGAATTATTATGGCTATAGGATTATAATTTTAAGCTAGAGACTCAATTTTTAATTTTTGGGTATTTTAGGTACGAAGAAATACAAAGAATTTTTGATAATAGAAATTAGTTTAGAAGTTGATTTTTAAATTATTAATGTTTATTGATAATTAAAAGAGGAGTTAAAAATTTTACTTAATAGTATTGATTCTAGATTTGTATTAAAATTGAGATTAGAAATTATGTTATATTTTTAATTCTATTATTAGAATTATTTTATTAGTTTCAAAATTGAAACTAATATTTATAAATAATATGTTATTTGTAGATTGTATTACTGGTGAAGATTGTGGTGAGAGAGAAATTTTAAGGAATAATTTATTGAAAAAGCCACGAGGTAACCATGCTTTTAATTGTGATTTGTGTTACTTCATGTTAATTGGGTGATTATTGGAGAAATTATAAATTTTGTAATATTATATAATTGTGCAATATTATTATGAATTTATTTGATTATTGTGGGAGGTGTTGGGAGACTTGTTATTATTGTTATATTTATGTGCCACGTGGTACGCCTTATTGGAGCTCAATAGGTGGCTTGTAAGGGCTCGAGCTAATCTAACTTTGGCCGGGTAATTTAGCACTGAGTGAGGGTTACGGCTCGAGGTTAATGGAGGGATATAAGGATGGTTGTTTGTGTGTATTGTAATATTTCTTATATTTTGTTGGAATTATATTATTTTTTTTTTCCCACTTAGTAACACACACTTAACTGTTTGTATACACTATCATAAATTGGCTTTGGTTACTGGGACTTTTGAGTCTCATTATGTAGTTAACAATTTTCAGGAGAAGAGCCATGAGTAACACGTGGAGGAGTCCCAGAGACTTAGTGGTATAGATCCACTGTCTCTTTTGGGTATTTAATTTATAATTTATAATGTGTTATATTGCCAATATTAGGGCTTTTTGTTTATTGTCAATTATATGAATATATAAATGTAATCATGCCTTTCAAACTATTTCTATTTTTAGTACAATTTAGATAACTGTAATTTTAATATTTGGTTTACTTTGATTGGTTAAAATGGCATAATTATAAGGCCAAATAACTGGCTTGTGTTGAAAATTGACTAAATTGCTTATTTTACTTGTTGGGAGTATAAGGATGGACAAATGTGATTTAGCCTAATGGCATGTGGGAGGTAAAAATTTATCTGAAATATTATATTGTGCGAGTTTAAGCCAATTAAAAATATTTTAAAATTATTGATATAAAAAAAATGTGTTGGGTGGCTGTAACCCAACTAGGTTGAGTTAAATTATTTAAAAAAAAAATTGGTGTGTTACATCATTGATGTCGGTTCAATCCTAATAGAAGTTTGCCATCTGGTCTCCATTGTCCTTGTCAATCCGATCTCAGTGAAAGTCGGCTGTCTCATCCTGGTCAACGGTGGTAGGTTGTTTTTCAACTGTGATGGTTCGATCTAATTACTGTTAGCAAGTCGATCAAGCCTTCATGCATTTAGGTCAAATTATAAAAAAACCTGAGTTAGGATTTGAAATAATAGGAGTTTAAAAAGGATTTTAAATTATAAAGAAATTAAGAGAGAACTTATATTTGGATTTGGATCAAATCCAAAATTCATACTTTTTAATTATTCAAATAATGAATTTGACTCAAATTCAAATTAAATTTACGTGTATTCAAACATAGTATAAAAGTATTCTTCCTCCCTCCAAGTTTAGATGTAAGAGCTACGTATAAAACTTGGGACAAGCTTTACCATAATATAAGAAATGAGTAGGACTCTTTCATTTAGGAATATCAATTACAAAGTTATTTAATTGGGCTACATTTTAAAGATTTAAACTTGAAACATTTGATTATATAAGTTGGTGCATCCCTTTTTTAGTTAAACCAAGCACGTAATAGTTAAAAAGCTTACTTGATCCTAAAAGTAAGCGTTCACTATATTTTTCTTTTAAATTTATAATTTTTCTTAATCATTCCTGTTGTTTTATTTATTAAAGATGAGTTTTTATTAAAATGAATAGTTTCTCATGTAAATAATTAAAGAGAGAATGATAATAAAGTCTCATAACTTAAAATTTATGATAGTTACATTTCTAGTAAACTTTTTTTTTTAAAAATATAACTTTTAAATTTCTGTATTTTACTTAATTTTACTATAAGTCCCTACACTTTTTTTAATATTCTATATCTTTACTTTTTTGTTTTTCAATGTTTTAGATGAATCTAGACCACTAAAAAAAGTGCAAGAATTTATCGTAAAATTCAAGCAAAATGTAAAGACTCAAATTTATATTTTTATTTTTTTTATCAACTGCAAACTAAGTTATATTTAAAATTTAAATGTTTTATTTGTAATTAGATTTCTAAATTTATGATTATCTAAATTAATATTTTAAATTTTTTTGTTGGGGATCTAATTATTATAAGTTTTATAATTTTGAGGATTTAATGTCATTTTTCTCTAATTAAATGAGACATTTTATAACATTAATATTTTTTTAATGAACAACTAATTTAATTAAATTTTTTAATCTTTATTATCGGAACAGGGCTTTCTGTAGAACCGTAAGTGAGGAACCGTAGGCGAGCCGTAAGCGGAGTGACACAGAGTGAGTACACAAGTGTAGCAAAAGTACATGCGTCAATGTAGTAGCCGAGTTCTGGAACGAAGGCGTCGGTCGCACGTACAATGTGTCTGAGCTAGCACGTGCCAAACATCCTCTCTCTCATTGGCTGTGCTGATGCCCCTTATAATTCCTAAAGCATCTATTCACGCACCAACATACTCACACAACCCAACCACACACTTCTCTCTCTGGATTCACACAATTTTCAGGCAATAGGAGAGAGAAGAAAGGAGTTGTTGTAGTTATTCGCTTCCAGCTCAACTTGCATTTCTCCAACTTTTGCGTCCTAGATCGAATCCAGGTCAGTGTGGATTTTCTCTCTGCTTCATCGGTTTGGCGTGATTCATTCACAGCGCAATGTACTTTGCTCTAGATTTCTTTCTATTCATGTATTTAAGACCGATTGACGAAGCTGGATTTGTTGCCTATGTTCTGATTGGGCTGATGCATTGCTTGTGTTTGATTTTAAATGCTGAATTTCTTAGTGTATTTTAAGCTGTACAGTAGCTTTCCTCTCTTGCTTCCATACTCCTCCTCCTCCTCCTCCTCCTCTCCCCCCCTCCATTGTAAGCTTTGTCGGCTGTGTGGATAAAAGAGTCTTAGGAAATTTGTTTGCACATCGGTGTTTATGATGCTTTGGTTGTGCCTTTGTTTTCCCTTTTTTTTTGGGTAGTTTTTGTCTGGTTTATAGTAGTAATTCTTCTTGTTGGTTGACCCTTCCGGTCACGCTGGGAATGAGAAATATAATTGAAAACCTGAAGAGGTGTTTCAAGCCTAACGCCTTATTTCACTCGGGTGATTGCTTCTTTAATCTTTTTTTTTTTTGAATAAAAAAATACATTAAATTGGGAGATGAGTAGTGTTGTTCTGACACCACCAATTTTCCTCTACTATTACTTTTCCGGTCAATTTTAATTACAAAAATAATTTATTATTTTAGATTAAATCAATTGCAAACTAGCAGGTAAAAAAGGTGGCGATAAAATAGGGTCTTATAAGTAACATTTCTATTGGGATATAATTCTGTAACGCTGCTGCAAAATGCTAAGACACAAACCTTGTATTTCCATGCCTTAAGGTTATCTGCACGCGTCATTCTATATCTGTGCATCACTCTAATCTAAAACAGAAAGAAAATTTACATTGGGAAGCACTTTCTTTGTGAAATTATGTATACTGGTTACATTTGTATCTTAATTGCCATGTGAACTATTGATAGATACCCATAAAGGCCAACTGAAGTTTTTTCTTTTATTTTTTTGCGTCATTGCCACTTTTCCTTTGATTAAATTATTGTTCTAAGTTATTATTTTCTCTTTTGTTCCAGGCTAGTTGCTTCCACTGCAGGCTTTCTTATGCAGCTGTTGATGTTACTACCAAATAGATAGCAACATGGTGGGAGGAACGCATTTTGGATATTGCTGTTTCAGATGACTTTTAGCATCTGTATTATGCTTGAACAGTGTTTGCTATGGACATTTGTCTGATGAAATGGCAATGGCCATGGCTTATTGATGTTTTACTGATATGTATTGTAATCACACATAATGAAGCGATCAGTCCTGATGGTAACTCCATGGTTTTTCTTCCTCCTATCTTTAATTTGTTACTCCAGAGTCAATAATTGCTAGCTATGACAAGTGCGTTCTCACTATTTTACTGGATGTTAAAAGCTTTACATGTCAATGATATCTTTTCACATGTCTGTGGGAAGATATTGTTCATAAGTAAAACTTCTATACACAGCGCGTATGCTATGGACAAAAATGAAAAGCTTGTCTACGGACTTGTACAGTATATGTTTTTGTGATTACCCTCATTTTGTCTGAATTTTTTTAACTATAGTTAATATTTTGAATTGAATAGATATTTTGAACTCCACATTTTAAAATTATCATTTGCTTATGTACCGTCTTTGTCTTATTTAACTTGTCTGGGGCGGGGGACCCTCTCTTGCTAGATCACATTGATGGTATATATATTATTTGTATCTTTAGGTGAGGCACTTCTCAGTTTCAGGACAGCAGTTGTTAGCTCAGATGGTATCTTGTTGCAATGGAGGCCTGGGGATCCTAACCCATGCAAATGGAAAGGAGTCAAATGTGATCCAAAATCCAAGAGAGTTACAAATCTGTGAGTTCCTATGATAACTTCTCTTGCCTAGCGGATGTAATTGTATACGGATATTGTGTATCATCTGTACTAATATTGTGTTTCATCCACCCTTGTCAGTTGGTTTGCATTAGAGCTGGGGTAAAGCAGGATATTGTGATTTAATTTTTAGATGATTTTTTTAATCTTGTTAATGCTCTTTTTTATGGATTTCCCCCTTAGTTTGAAAAAGATATAGAACATCATATTCATGTTGTATTAGTAAATGAAAATCTTGGATAAGGTGTGCTGCGAGCAGACAAGTTTTTCTCAATCTTACATCTAACTTTACTTTCATTGGTGATATTCTAGGAGTTTAGCTCGCCATAAGTTGAGTGGGTCTATACCACCTGACCTGGGGAGGCTGGAGCATTTGACTGTTCTGTATGTATTTCTGATTGTGTATAATTTTTCTTTGAGACATTTGATTCTGTTGCTTTATTGCTTACCTGTTGGAGCTGATTTAATCATCATCTGCATATGCTGTAGTGCCCTTCACAACAACAATTTCTATGGGACAATTCCATCTGAATTGGGAAATTGCACTGAGTTGCAGAGAATGTATGTATCTTATTTAGTTGCTTTTCCATGTTACTGTTTTAAGTTGGGAAATTAAATGTGATTTATCTTAGTAGATGAAGATATTATAATAAAGTGATTTAACAACATGACTAAACACCTCTTCCCATACATTACGCAAAACATGAGGGATGGGCCATGCTATTCATGACTTGTGATTAGTGCATCTTGATATAGATTTTATACGGATATGTTGATATATTGATTTCACACTGACATATCGAGGTATTTTTTGGGGCTGGCCTTCTATAGAACTTGACTTCCTAGAAAGCAAGATTGGTAATGGGAAATAGTAGGTTACTTACTTTTTTTAGAGGTTTCGACTGATTGCTGTTGGGAATAATCTGAATCTTTCTTGTGCAGATTCTTGCAGGGAAATTACCTTAGTGGAGCAATTCCAAGTGAACTAGGAGACCTTTCACAGCTCAGAAGTTTGTGAGTGATCTCTTGGTTTTGTACACTAGTAGTGCTTTATATTCCATTATTTTGGTCTGGATAAGTTATGTGTATTGTAGTACTATTAATTATGTTCTCCTTTTCTGAGAAATGTTTAAACACTTGGAGAAAAGGGAAAGATAAAAAACTGCAACAGTTGAACTAAGGTTGCACTTTGGCTAGTGCGTGCTTGTAAGTTGTAATGATACAAATGTATGTGTGGCAATTGTAGAGAAGGGTAGAATTTCCAGTTAGTTTATGGTTCATTTCATCCAATTTATGTTGTTCTAAGGATGCACGGATCAGTTCCATTTACCATATCCCTGTCTTCTGTAGGGACATATCAAGTAACTCCTTCAGTGGCAATATACCTCCATCACTTGGCAAACTGTATAATCTCAAAAATTTGTAAGTAGCCTTGGTTTTCTTCTTTGACTTTTCTCCTGTTTATTTATATCTTTCGTTAATTTTATTATGAAAGGAAAATTGAATCTTCTTCTTGTGGTCATGCTTGATGCTCTGAACTTTGAAGTAATGTTTCAACCAACTTTCTGGTCGGACCAATACCTTCTGATGGTGTGCTTGCTAACTTTTCTGGGGACTCGTAAGTAAAGCTCCCTCATTTATTCTGCTTTGTGCTTCATTTGGTAATATATTGAGCTCACCTTTGTGCAGGGATTGTTTTGCGGTTTCCTCTGAATTTTTCTTCATGCTCCTTTTTCTTTCAATAAAAATTGCAGAAGGAAATGAGAATAGTTGTGTTGAATTGAAAGGTTAGAAAATGAATGAGGCAGAGATGAAGGCTGAGAACTATATTCTTTTTGAATTGTTTCGGATTGTTTACAAATAGGGAGGCCTCTATCTCTAGCCATGACATGAGGCAAAGACTTTTTTAGAAGAATGTCCCTAAAGATAAGATAAACATACAACAATGGGGTTAGATAAGATAAACATACAACAATGGGGTTAAGTTTTAATCTATTTATAGCAAAATCTTCCACAAGTTGCATCACTGATATCAAACTTACTGTATATAATTTTCCAGATGCTAGAGTTTCTCATGCAAGACCTCTGTTTTTGGCAAGATTTGGACAATTATTGAAGAAACCAAAAAGCAACTAATATGATGTGATATTTAAATCTTCTATAAGAATTACTAAAAATGATGGAATAGAACAATAACATGCTTTATCCTGCAAGGTGGGGTCGGCTACATGGAATATTACATTGGAGAATATATTTCATTTACTTCCAAGACACTGATTATGATAATTTAAAAAAAAGTATCCCTTTTTCAGCTCATTTCCGGTACACACTTATTTTTCGTCTCTCTACAATAAAATTCTCATAAAAGGTCATGGTGTTGCGTATTAGGAAACATTTTCCTGCATCCACTGTCTCTGATGACTTTTTATTTTTTTGTACTCAAATTGTCATTTCCCCCTTTTTAACTTTACTGTGTTTTCCAAGTTTTACTTTTCCGATGGCCAGTGTCTTTACTTTTGATAGAAATTTGAGCAAGAACATTTATTTCAGCTCACCTGCTTTCAAATGCCTTTGAAACTGAGAGGATCATAGACTGGTTTTGAAGACTGACTAAATTTCAGTGTTGGACAAATTGTTCCTAGTTTTGTACTTTATACGTGTCATGTGACATCTTATGATGATTTGAAAAAACACAACGAAGTCTAATAAGAGGATTTTTATTTTTATTTTTTTTATGGAAAAAAAGAGGATCACTTCCCCTGTGTAATATGACGAGAAATATATTGCCTTTTCTTTTCCTGTATAAGATGGCAGGTGTTCATTTTTCTCTTTCCCCTTCTAAAAACATATTGAAACTTTGATTTGATTGGAAAATTTTAACTGCATAGCTTGAAGAAACTAAAGACTAAATACATTTATATTTTTTTTATAGTTGTGCTTTTCAATCCCTCCAACAATTTTGAAACAAAGCCTCAAGTGTATTATTACTGATGGTCCTAACTGAAGAGTCTAACTGCTTAGGAACCACAAAATTTTTTGCTCTTGAAGATTGAGTTGAATATGTATGCTTTCTTGCAGCTTTGTTGGTAATCGTGGTTTGTGTGGAGCTCAAATCAATGTAATGTGTAAAGATGGTTCGCCTACAAATCAATCCTCAACCATTGGTAAGGCCGTGTGTTTACATTAGTTAGTCCATATATTTTTACTCACCGCCTAACTTTCATTTTAGCCCTTTCACTTGTTTTATTGTTTGATTTTTATCACTTAATTTAATAATGTTATCAAGTAAATTTGTCTTTCAGCTTTTGTTCCTTTGTGGACTTTTTTTTTTTTTCAAAATAAAAGTTGTAATTTGAGTGCACATCTAGTTGGCTTGGGATGAAATAAATAACTATCCTCTTAGAGGCGGAGAAAGAAATCTATCTGCTAAGATTTTAGCATTCATGTCTACATCTCTTAGCATTCATGTCTACATCTCTTATTGCTTTTCCCTCCGTATTTCCTCCTACCTTCTGGAGGTAGCCAGTAAATAAATGTTCCAAACTAAGGAGCACCCTGGGTTCTCCAAAGACACATAATTTCTTCACCAAATATACCTGGCTGATGGGATTTGTATATGTCATTGAGCTGTAGTTCAGTGCTATTACTACATGTAATAAACATATTAGGAAAATTATGCTGCATTTGATGATGAACTATTGATTATATAAAGCAAACAGATGCTTGCTTATTTCTTAATTTTATAAAACTGAATGCTATGCCTAAGAGAACAACTCTTGGAAGTTGTTGAACGTGATCTCTTAATTAATAATATTTCTAAAAGCTTGATAAATGATAGAGCACAATGGCGTCTTGCAATTCATGTAGCCGACCCACCTAGTGGGATAAAGGCTTGTTGTTGTTGTTGTATAAAACTGAATGCTATATCTACTACGTATTTTTTGTTTTATTTATTTACAAAGTTCTCAAGCAAAAAGGTCCACAATGTTGTCTGGTTTATTATAAGAATGAAGTGGATACAGTGGATGATTTTCATATCATATCATTTGTTGTTTCTAGCAATGTTTGATGATCAACTGACATGGTCACCAAGTCATTTTTTATCATGTTACTCTTGGCAGACCAAAACCAAAATGGAAAGAAGAAATATTCTGGTCGGTTGCTTATCAGTGCTTCAGCAACTGTTGGTGCACTTCTTTTAGTTGCACTCATGTGCTTCTGGGGTTGCTTTCTTTATAAAAAGTTTGGTAAAAATGACCAAAAAAGTCTGGCGATGGATGTTGGTGGAGGTGTGTTCTTCAGCTTTCTTTGTAATGCAAATAACACCTAATCGGGCTACTTTTTGTTTCCTGTCTTTGTAAGCTCCTGAGATTTAATATATTCTGAATAAATGTATGGCAGGAGCTTCATTGTGATGTTTCATGGAGATCTACCATATTCTTCAAAAGACATCATTAAGAAACTAGAGACATTGAATGAGGAACACATAATTGGATGTGGCGGATTTGGTACAGTTTACAAGCTTGCAATGGATGATGGGAACCAATTTGCTTTGAAAAGGATTGTTAAGTTGAATGATGGCTTTGATCGTTTTTTTGAGAGAGAGCTTGAAATTCTTGGAAGCATAAAGCATCGTTATCTAGTAAACTTACGAGGGTATTGTAATTCACCTACATCAAAGTTGTTAATATATGATTACTTACCTGGTGGAAGTCTTGATGAAGCTCTTCATGGTAAGATTTTAATTTTAATGCTATATTCTTATCAATATATTCTGTTGTTTTGAATGCTTGTGGGCATCTTAAGTAACAGATGATGAATAAAGGATCAATGCATATATCTGGTGATCATTAATGAAATCTTGGAAAGCCTCTTAAAGTAGGTCACATGAGACTCACAACATGGAATTATCTATATGTGATTCGTTAAGAATTCTTGACGTTGAAATATGTAGACTATAGAAATATTTCCATTGTCATAGCAACTGAGTTGGTGAGCCATAGACGCTTCATGGATGTGAAATTCCAATTCAACGGGGGAATTGTTCATAGAACAGGAGCAAGTTTTATGTTGCAAGTGTGAGGTATGGGACATGAATCCCACATAGGGTGCATAGGATGCTAATGTGGGGCTTACATGAATTTTGGGCTCTCCAACTTCATGAGCCAGATTTTGGGGCACATTCTCTGGAAGGTTCATGTCCAGAGCTTTACACTGCCATTCACCCTCTATTTATCTCCTCCTATGCAGTATGAATCTTATGAATTATGAAGCATGGTATGACCTAATTGCAAGGTATGAGAATTGAGTCTTACATTGAAGTTTGGAATTCTAACCGAAGGCTTGTATTAACTTCAGACTCTTTATCTCCAGTCTCCAGAGCTAACTTTGGGGTTATGGTTCTCCCAAAGATTCATATCAGTTGGGAGCTGACGCCATTGTGATTTTGCTTTTGGTTAATTGTTAAATAAATGTGACCTTCTCACTTATTCTGCACTGGTTATTCTCTTACCACTGATCTGAAATATACCACAGTATAACCATAATTAGTGAGAATGACATTCTCTGACACATTGCACAGAAAAATCTGAGCAGCTAGACTGGGATTCACGCTTGAATATAATCATGGGAGCTGCGAAAGGGCTTGCCTACTTGCACCATGATTGTTCCCCCAGGGTCATACACCGTGACATAAAGTCAAGTAATATTTTACTAGATGGCAACCTGGATGCACGAGTCTCTGATTTTGGGCTTGCCAAACTTCTGGAAGATGAAGAATCTCATATCACCACCATTGTTGCTGGAACATTTGGATATCTAGCCCCAGGTAAGCTATTCAAAATATGAATTTGTATAAGATGATCAAGTCTGTACATGAACCCTTCAATTTTCTAATTGAGCCTCTTTTTCTCTGGCAGAGTACATGCAAAGTGGTAGGGCAACTGAAAAAACTGACGTTTATAGTTTTGGTGTCCTGGTACTTGAAGTGCTAAGTGGAAAGCGTCCAACAGATGCATCATTCATTGAAAAAGGTCTCAATATTGTTGGTTGGGTATGTCATGCACCTTCTCTTAGATTTTCTTCTTGTGTATGCGCTTGTGGTTTTAAACTACTCAGCATATGATGTCTGTTAATTAAAAGCTAGTTAATTTAAATGTTTAGTTGTCTTCTCTTACCTTTATCTTTATCCCATTGTGAAAACTAGTCAATATCAAGCAACCAAATTCAAATCATGCGGATTTTATTAGAAACACTTTGATTTATATCTCTGTTCACTTTTTTTAAAATGATTTTAACTCCATTAATTTGTTCTTCCCTTTATGGCACTTGAATTTTCTGTTTGGCGTCAGCATCTGGATCTCTTGGTCTATTTCAGAACTTTGGACAATCTTTAGTTTTGTTCACTGGCACTCAGTCTTCTTTCTATGTCTCAAGGCGAAATCCTTGAAATTACTTGTTTGGGTGCACGAGTCTGTAGCTCTTTATGTGACTGCAAAGCAAACTAATTGAGTTGCTGTTCTAATGGCACTTCCATTTTGGTCGCAGCTGAATTTTCTCATTACCGAAAATAGGCAAAGAGAGATTGTTGATCCCTCATGTGAGGGAGTGCAAGTAGAGAGCCTCAATGCCTTACTCTTTGTGGCCATTCAGTGTGTTTCATCGAGTCCAGAGGATCGACCCACTATGCATCGAGTGGTCCAGGTGCTTGAATCGGAGGTCATGACCCCATGCCCAAGTGACTTTTATGACTCCGAGTAGATTGCCTGAGAAACCAAAAGTATGTGGAGTCTACATTTATTTCACTGACATTATTGCAAGTCAGGAAGTGATGGAGGGAAACAGCGAAAGGGGCTGGATCATCTTCCTCTGAATTGCATTCATTCTTTAGGCAGATTTATGATTGAGATATGCCCTTCATCACGCCCATTTATGAAAGGAAATTCTGGTTCGTCTAACTCGTGTCCTAATCGGACGTGTAAACTTTCCCCCCCCCCTTTCTTCGTGAATGAAATCCCACATTTGTTGAATTTGTAATCACAGTCAGCATTTGTTCACCTGAATTTTAAGTGTATATTAATTTGTATAAATCGAGCAGCACCTGCTTTTTGAATTATTCTTGTTATTATTGTAATATGTTGTGCAAAAGAATTCAACCAGTGAACAAGGATGCCCTGGCTCTCCGATCCATGATCCATTGTTTTCTTGCTTTAGACTTGTAGTTGCACACTGTGCTTTGTCACTGTTTAGTCGAAGACTTGGTACGCTCAGAAAGCATGGGTCAAATTTAGCGCTGGTAGTTCCGGCGCGATGGGGCCAAACAAGTCTGAACTTGATGGGCCTGAAATTTTTTTTTATTGAAAAGATGATTTATTGAAGATTATGATTACATGTTCAAGATACATCTAACAGATTATTTCTCTCCCTTCTTCCTCTTCCTGGATAAATGGAGGAGGGGTGAAGAGTGGTTAAAGAAATAGTTCTCTGTGATAAGTGTCTAAGTAAACTTAGTTAAAGTATCAACATATTTGACAAAGTCTCTAGACATGTAAATAATGTTTACAAACCATCTTCTTCCTAAAATCAATCTAGCTTCCTGTATAATATCTCAGTACTGTAGAGGTGGTTCTGTGGAAAGTTTTTCAGAATCATACCTGAATTTTTAATTTTTAATTTTTAAAATTAATTTTAATTTATTTTTATTTTAAATTAATTATTTTTATTATAAAAATATATTTTTTGAATATTTAAACGATATAGAAAATTTAAAATTTTTTTTAAAAAGAGCATGGATCTTGAAATTTAAAAATCAATATTAAAATACGTTTTAAATATTATTTTAAAATATTTTATAAATTAAAAGTAATAAAAATATGACACTATAAATATTGTTAATATTTTTAAAAAATATCTATAACAATGTATTTAAATATATGATATCTTAGTATAAATAACCTAAAATTTAAAAAAATTCATTAATACTTACTATATTATGTATATTTTTCAAATAATTTTTTTTTTGTATTAGGATATTTAGGAGTTCAAACCTGACTGGGTATGGTTTGAATAAATTCAAACATTAAAAAAAAGGACATAATTTTACTAAAATTTGGTCTTAAATTTTTTCAAACTTATTCACCTAAGCATTAATTTAATGCTTTAGTGAATATAATCTAGGTATGCTTGAGCCTCACGTGTCATGTCACTCCCAAGATGCCTACCGTCGAAATCGCGGAAAGGATCTTCATATATAACGTAGGGTGCATAAATGATGTGTCTTCTAAAAACATTAGTCAAGGGAACAAACAGGGACTTAGTTGGAGAGTGGAACATGGTTTCACGGGTAAATCCATAGATAGAGGCATAGAGCCACTTGATGTACACTCCCTGATGCCGTCTGGTACCCGCCAACCAGCAAACAGGGACTTAGTTGGAGAGTGGAACATAGTTTCACGGGTAAATCCATAGATAGAGGCATAGAGCCACTTGATGTACACTCCCTGATGCCGTCTGGTACCCGCCAACGAGCCCGAGGTACGATGAACAGTAACACCAAGAGAGAGTCAATCAAAAGAAAATAACATCACTTTTTTGCCCTCATTGACGCGAAGATCACTATTACCCTTCTGTCAAGTTCGCGCACTTAAGTTGGTGGATATTGTCGTCCTTTAAAAAAAATAGTTGAATGGAAGTCACCCTCACACACCGATCAAAATTCAAAAACGCCAAGAGATTGAACAGGACACGACCTTACTTGACTTGAACAGGATATGTTCAATAGGTTCGTTCCTCTGTGTCCTTGAGCATGAAGGAGACAAGAACCACAATCTAGTGACGACCTGTGGCCGAGCGATCAACCGGTCCTTCTGGGTCTGGCACGATTGTGTTGTGGCATCCGCCAAGGGATTTTTCTTCTCGGTAATCTGAAATTGTTGGGTTATACAGTGGCTCAAAGGTCTCATATCAAGCACATGTCATTCTCAGGATCTAATTCTTCCGCGGTTCCCTTCTTAGATTTCATCTAACACAGTCCAAAAACATGACCACAAAGTACGGCGTATGAATGGACTTTGATGATCAGATCAGACTGATTCATTGGCACTCAACTCATCAATTTCTTTCTTTTAACAATTACCGTGTTATCGTAGTTATGGCAATTAACAAAGTGCAAATGATCTAATAATGGGGGATTGATAATTTTACAGTCTTTTTTAATTATTATTTTCATGCATGGTTTTGTTTTCTTTCCGCAAAGTTTTTTTTTTATATATACACATATTGATTAGTAAGTTCATGCGTCTTTTGCATAATAATTAATAAGTGGAGACATGTTGATGGTGTTTATTTTACCATGAAGCAGAAAAAAATAACAGTAAGAACTAGGAAGTTAAAAAAAAAAAAACAGTAGAAAGTAGAGACCACATAATTAGATGCAGTGTTATTACTTTATGTTTATGGTATTTGAAAAGATAAAGGTTTATAACAAGTCTTTTTCAAAGCTGTCCTTTATGTTTCGGTTTTGGTTTTGACTAGTCCTATTATTTTCTCTGCCCAACTACTTTTCTTTTCTTCCCTATTTTGGCTCTTAACTTTTGTTTGATGACATCTGTTCCGGAAAATTACACGTTTCTTAAAGTTGATTTTTTTCCTTTGAACTTTTCGGGGACCCTGCAGGTATTTTGAATTTGATTTTCAGTCATTTTTATCCTTGAATTTTTAAAATTCGACACCTCCCTTGTCTTGCTATTTACACGCTGCATATTGAATGTTATTTGCTTAGTTGGTCATATTTTATTGACTTTTTTTGGATCACATGACATCAAAGTAGATGTATTTTAGGATATGTGTGGTTGTGGTTTTTTTTAACATTTAAAAAAAATGATTCAAAAATAAAAGTTCAGAACACAAGTATCTGGAGGCAAATATTTTGAACGCAAAATTGACCCTATTTAATTTTGATTGGATGTCCACTTGCATATTATACGGTCCAAAAAAGTCAACAAAGCAAATTTAGATCAGCAAATAATAGTCATCAAACGAAGTGTGAATAACGAGACAATAATGTATTTGAATTTTAAAAGTTTGAGAAAAAAACCTAAAATTAAATTTAAAATACCCGCAAAAAAGTTTAAGAGCAAAAATAATAGTTAGCTGAAAAAATGTGGTTCTTTAAAAACTATATGGATAGCTGGGAAACAAACGGTAATTAAATATATATTTGTTTGACTAAGTTAAAATTAAAAATTCTCAGGCATTCCAAGAAAAAAAATAAAAATATTAATATTTTATAATGAGTTTTGTTATGCACAATTTATAACAACCCAATTCATCTATAAAATTCTGTGGAACACAAGTTGAAGTATGCGCAACTTAAATTAAAAGTTGCCAACTGGAGCAAGATTTAAAATTTCGGTTCATGTTATTATAGTTGTTTTTCAGTGCCCTTTACATAATATACACGTTAGTGTGTGTGCGCGTAGAATTTATTTATTGATTCATAGGGCCGACAATTTCATCGTAAGTTATATTTGAATTATTATTTGTTCGGTGTCAGAATTTCAACTGGCTAGCTATATTGACGTTAGAGAAGACTAGGATATAATATCTTTAAAAGTTGATGAAATTACATCTCACGCAGATTTTTTTTTTCCCTTTCAATGCTCAAACTTTTATTTAAAAGACTTGGACGAGTCATATTTGGTTTATTCAATTATTTTTATTTGTTACATTAGACCAATTTTAGTGAGACAAAACCAAAGAAAATGCATAAAAAAGTATTAGAAGAAAATTTGAGATGAAATTGCATTTGTCTTTTGATTCGGTATGTGTGAATTTAGGTATAACAAAAATCAAATGCTCTGATAAATAAAGTCAATATACAATAACAACAATGGTCAAATATCAATTAAATAGAATTAAGCTAACTAAAATAAAAAACCTCCATCAAATAAAAACTCGAAATCATCTGTAATATCATCACACTAATATTACTATTATCATATTAAGCAAAAAAGTTAAAATTTATGTCACATAAAAAGAAAAAAAAAATAAAAATGAGAGCGCTCGCGCGCGCGCAACTTATTACTACTAATTTAAGATAATTAAGTGATATTTTCATGTAATAGAACGTTACATGTAATTTTTCACAAAATTGCAGAGTTTGTTTTTTGGGGAAAAATTTCAGAGACCAATAATAGAATATTCTGTCAAATACATATAGGCTTTGCAATCAAGTCCGTCAGTCAAGCGCGTGTCCGATGGAGCCATGAAAATGTTGCTTTTCCCCTTATATTCTCCCACAAAGATACCCACTAATTGATATTATAGTCCCAACCCAACCTTTATATTCTCTACAGTTCTCCTTCAACTCTCGCTTCTGTTCCCTTCTCCTCTCTTCTGTTCCCTCTCTTCCCAGCTTTACTTTTTTGCCAATCTCTGCTCACAGAAAGATCCAGGTAATCCCCTTTTCCACTGATATTCTTTCTTTCTTTCTCCCATCGTTTTCTGTTTGAACAGAGAGAAAGTTGCTGTTTTTAATCGAAAAGGAGAATGGATGCAATAAGGAAGCAGGCTAGCAAATTAAGGGAGCAAGTTGCCAAGCAGCAGCAGGTGGTTTTCTCTATTCTAGTAGTTCTTAGAATTCATGTTCTCTCAGAAGATTAAGTGGATGATTCCAGATTAAGTGGAGACACCTATGGTCCACCTTCTCCTAGATAGCATGCTTTTTTGTGGTCGTACTGTGAAGCCTTCTGTTTAATTTTCTTTTGTAGAATGAGACAATCCGATTTTTTTAAAAAAAAAAAATATTGGGGGATTATATATAAGGCATATTTTCACTTCAGGCTTGAACTGATGAAGTAGATTTCTAAGGAGGAAAAGTGTGAAATCAGTTCATTTTTCACTTTACTGCTTTTCTTATAAAAATTGTTTAATTGTTTGACTTTTGTCTTCTATAATTCTGGAAGATCATAATGTTACTGTTTTGCAGGCTATACTTAGACAACTAGGCCAAATTAGCAATGAACCGCTTATAACAGACGAATCAGAAGTTCAATGTCACCAACAACTGCGAAAATTATACAATTCTACTAAGGTAGCCAAGGTATGAGTATGACGGAATTTTACTATAATGTCATTTTCACGTCCTTCCGTTTCTGGCCTGAATCTAGCTAGTGATTTCGACCCGTTATCTGGCCAAGTTTTTATTTAATGTCTCGCTCACAGAATTTTCAGCGGCATATTGTGCGTGGTATTGAAGGTTTAACCTCTGTTAGTTCAAAGCAGATGGAGATAGGTGATTTCGGTTTCTTTCCTCTGTAAAGTTGATTTCCTTGTAAAGGATGATAATTGATATTTTTCCTTGTATACATCAGTAAGGAAGTTGGCAAAAGAATGTTGTAAGTACGGGACTGAGAATGAAAGCAGTAAATATCCTCTTGCAAGGGCTTCTCTTCACATGGGTAACTCATATGATTTAATGCAAAATGAAAGGGAGACTTTGCTTGCAATCTACAGTCATCAGGTAATCCTCAGTGAAAATTTCTTTGGCACTCTTCTTCATGATACAGACATATTTAATGTCCCCAGAAAAAATAGTCTATCTGATTTACAAATTGCTAAACTAGAATTATATCTTACTAAAATAAGCACTGGCAGTCTAAAAAGATTACTTTCAGTAAGGGCAATTTGATAAAAAGGTTTCACAAATTATGTATCAGTTTTCAAGTGATCTTTTACTTGAAGGGAAACAGAGAATTCTTGGAAAAAAATTTCAAGCCTTTGTTAAGAATGGCAGCTTGGACGACTGTTGCAAATGCCATAGGTTTCATGATCAGATATGTTGGTTAATATTCTAGCACTTTCCAATGGACTAGACATTACTTGGTCTCCGTTGTTAACTTCTGTATAGATTTGTGCTTGGGCTTGTCTATATTATCAAAATAGTTTAAGCTACTTGGTTAGAATTGCCGCAAGCTTATGTACACTTCATCTTTCTTCACTTTTAGGTGTAAGAGTTGTATTATCATTGTTACCCTTTTTATTCTTTCTTTTTTCTTTTTTCAAGAAAAAAATTGCCTGGGCTTATGTTCTTTGAGTTTGAACCAGAGAGGCCTCAGGTTCATCATTTTTTTTAATGGGATTTCTAATTTTATGGCCATTAAGCTTTGATGCCGTGTTAACTTTTACATGGTTATATGCTTGGATTTGTCCATATCATTAAAATAGCTTAAATTACTTGGTTGGGATTGCCATAAATATGGACCTTTTATTTTTCTTATTACTTTTGGATGTATGACTTCTGGTCTCCAACAACCACTCTTTTCTAAAAGGAAACCTATAATTTTGTAAGATTAGGAAAATTTCATATTTGAAGCTCTTGCAGCTATACCTTTTACTACCACCATCCTCTCCTTGGTGAAGTTTTCAATGCTCTCATGATTCTTATTCAGATCTTGTGTCTAGGTCTCTGAGCCATTACGGGCACAAATTACAGGAGCTCCTTTAGAGGATGCACGCCACCTTGCTTATCGCTATGACAAACTTTTTCAAGAGGTAGAAGCTCAGGTAATAACTTACTGGCATGCCTTCATGCATATGGTGGTTCAAAATGCATAGTATTTATGTTAGATATCTTTTCATCAGGCTGCTGAAGTTTTGAGGCGTCGATCAAAGTTGAGGGATTCTTCTGTTTCTGCAGAGAACTCCATGAAGCTTCAAAATGCAGAGGCAAGGTTGAAAGAACTTAAATCAGCCTTGGTAGCGCTTGGTAGAGAAGCAACTGCTGCTATGGTGTCAGTTGAAGATCAACAACAACAGATAACTCTTAAGAGCCTTCATACAATGGTATTGCATTGCTGATTCTATGTGAACGTGACATAATTTGACTTCTTAGCATGCTGCAGGCTTCACTTTATGTGCCTGATTGGTGCTAAATACTAAACTTCATTGCTCATTTCTATTATGTAATATTTTAAATGGATAAATGGATTCTAGTCATAGAAATCTGGAAGATCTGAATATTAGTTGCTCATGAAAGATTCGTCCAACATAAGTAATTTCCCATTATACTAATATCTGGTTTGTGCAACACTGCAACCGGTTTTTGGGGTCCAGATACTTTTCGCTACAAATAAAATGTGATGGATGACGCTATTTGTTGTCAAATCTTCCATCTAGCAGTGGGAGTTTAGAGGATAAAATAGAAATTATGACCTGCACGGATTCTTTTATCCAAAGGTTTGATTGCTTGCAGCGATGGGTGGAAATTAGATTCTTTGACACGATAGGGCTCGAATTCTAGAGCTATGGGTGAAAGACTTTGAATAAATCCACGTTCTTGACAGTGAACTATGGTTCTAATTTTGTGAAATTAGGTACAGCTCATCTGATGTTTGCTCACTTAGGTACTCGCTTCTTTGTTGCATAATTTTTCTAACAATGTTCTGTATAGTTTTTGAGCTTCAAACAAAATGATGTGAACCCTTCTCCCTTCCCTTGGAGAATTTTCTTTCGTTATCTTTTTGTTCCTCTTTATGACAGGTGGATGCTGAGAGAGCTTATCATGAGCATGCCCTTGTTATTTTAGAGAAGCTTTATTCTGAGGTTTGCTACCATGTACCTTTGCTATTTACCCTTGTTGATTTATAAGTATTTCCTTCTTATGTGCATCATAAAGGTGGAAAGAATGGCATTACATTTATTCTAAACATTTTCCCCTGTTTTGGTAAATCTCATGGCATGTAATGCTTCTATTGCATATTATTGGAGTTAGATGATTCTGGAGAAGCAATCAAAGGAGTCTCCTGCCATTCCAGTGCCAAGAGATGGATACAATCAACCTGTATCTGAGAATGCTAATCTGAATGGTTTTGATCATCAAAGCACCAATCCGATGGGCACCTATTATTTTGCGAAGGCAAGTCATGTAAATATATTGTGGATTCCTGTTATGACTGAGTTTGTCCTGAGAGCTACTTCATTGCTTGTTACATAATATTCCCTCCGGTCCTGTAATGGTTAAATTTTAACCATCACTTGTTTCTTATAAATGGGATCGGATGTATAACGTGTTAGTGCAGTTGAGTATTGCTCTAGAAGACATTGCATACTAATTATTTGGCATTGGCTCGTCACGAAAGGCATTGCATCTATTTTTCTTTGTGTTGAATATTATCTGTTTGTATATTTATTTACTTTTTTGAAATATGATCATTGATGTTCTCCTGTTGTTTCAATCCATAAATTTCTGGTTTTCCCTCCAATTCCTCTTTTATTCATCAAACTGAAGTGTATTTTAGGATAAAGAGGCTACAGTACGTTCTCTGTTCACGCTTCAAGTAGTTTAAAGGGTGTTTGCACGAAGAAGCGTATTATATGTAAATCTATTCTGGATATTCCATTAATTTGTCTAAATCATTCGTTTAACCTGCCAGTCCATTATGTTATTAATTGATTATTCATGCTTATCATTTGTCTTACAGGTGGTACACCCATTTGATGCTCAAGCTGAGGGAGAGTTAAGTTTATCAGTTGATGATTACGTTGTAGTTCGGCAGGTATTTTCCTAAGAACATGGCAATTTTTATATGCCACATCTATTTTGGAAATAATCCTCCTTTTCTATACTAAAACCATTACTGGAATTTGATTAAATCTTGACTCGAAACTCAAAAGTTTTAGCCATACACCTCGATAATGGTTAGCTCAAACATTCTGCCTTGGACTTGAGCCATTCCTATCATCTTGGTACTATGAAATTGCTGAAGTTGGCTTCCCTCCATTGCAATGGGGGGAAACACTGCAAATTTGGACTGTGAAATTAGATTTGATAGTTTTTAAAAGCACACATTAATTTGTATCATCAAAATTTAATTTGAACGGTTTAGAATTGCAGTGGAGGGAAAATATAGTGGAGAGAAACCAGAGTCTGAAATTGCTAGCTATTCTTTTATTTTTCGTTGAAAGGCTTCCAATATCCTTTTTTGTATTTTACTGGTTAAATTCAAGTATTATGGGGCCTAGCTGTATCATCATATTGGAATAGCTCCTCTCTTACCAGTGATGTTTTTTTTCTTTTTTAACGGTTTTAGGTTTCTCCCCATGGATGGTCTGAAGGATTATGCAAAGGCGATGCTGGATGGTTTCCCTCAGCATATGTAGAGAGACAGGACAAAATACCAGCGAGCACGATAATGGAGATAACTTCAACATCTTGATCTTTGTTTAGTTTCTGCAAAACCTGTATATTCTAACTCTCTTCATAGGTCTCTTCCTGCGAACGAGTTGGTTCTCTGCAACATGTTGGGTAAGCAAGCATGAATTGTTATATATGTGTGGCAGTTTATAGGTGTAGATCAGCCTGTGATAATAGATGAGTGTGCTTATATCCTACGGCATCCTTGTAAAGAGTGTAATTTTCCACGTTAGCAGAATCTTGACAAGGTGGATAAATGAGTAGTTTTAGTGTTTCCTGATTAGGAATTTGTGTGGAATTGCATTATTTTATCAATGCATTATCAATATCAATTATTATTATTATTATTTTTCTCCTAAGATAAGAGATTATAAAAGGCATCATGCATGCAAATGATCACAATTAATAGGTGTTTAATGGATTATAGATAGCAGATTAAGAGTAGCCAATGTATAAAGGTTGTGAATTGATGAAGAAGGCCAGTAGGTGTAAGAGGAAAAAGATGAATGGTATGTGAAGAAAGCAACAGACTGTAGAGTGGGTCTAAAATATAAGGTGTTATATAAATTGTCTACTGGTTCTTCCGTCTGTCTTGTAAATTATGAATGGAGGTTTTACATTTTTTTTCCCCATTAATAAGGATAGAATTAAAATCAATGGATTTTTTTTTTGACAAATTTAATAATATAATATTTTTTTTTGAAATATGAAAAAAATGTAAAAACACCTTATAATAAAGATGAAAAGAAGTAAGCATAGGTGTTTGGTTTAATTGTTCAAGATAGTGGAATTAATTTATTTTGAAATCTCATTTGAATTTTGATATATGCAGTTTTGTTGAATAAAAATATTAAAAGACATTTATGGGGTGTTCATGAGACTGTCATTTATAAGAACAACTTCACTAGGTGGGATGCAGATTAATTTGAATATTGAGAAATATTACTAGATTGTAAATTACTCTGCTTTTCCCAAACTAATCAAACATTCCGCAAGTCTCTAAACACTAGGCTAGTGGGTTTAAACAATCATATTGAAAGGCATTAATAATTGTGCCACTATCCAATACTTATCTCATAATAATCAAAACGAAAATACAATGAAACTCTTGTTGTGAATTTTGATCTCGGGCCCTGTTGGGCTTTCCGTTGAAACTGTTAAAAGTAACTTTACCAGAAAATCTGATTAAAAAAGAAAATTACCTGAAAAGTCAAGTTTCAGCCTCGAGTTTTCAAGCCTGTAGAGAATATTTCATTAGCCCCATCATAATTTTTCATTAACATGATCTGCAATGATTAATTATTTTTCTCTAAACTAAGTCCCGGCCATATAAGTTTTACAACCACTAATTTAGCTACCTGAATTTTTCAGTAATTGGATAATATAATTTATACGAAAAAAATCTAACAAACCCACTTCTCCACTGATAGTGTGGGCGTGGGTATTAGTTCCCTAATAATAATAATAATAATTAATTAAAAATTCTGGGGGTAGATGATGATGATGATGATGATGATGATAATAATAATTATTATTATTAAAAAAAATCTATCCCCAAATCATATTACTAAAAGAAATGAAGTTGATTTTTTTTTTGTTTACATACAGTATATATATATATATTTTATTGGAATCAATCTTATTCAAGATATGATACAGCATTAATTTTGAGTATCGTCCCATATCCAAACATTAGTTTGTTGCATTGTAAAAAAACTAGTCCCTTACTCTATACCTAAACCCATTGATGGAAATTAACTCAATTTAATTATGTAAGAAATAATAAGAGTAAAGGGATACACAATCTTTTTTTTCCCCATTTGGATAAGCAGTAATGGAGCAGAAAATTAAAAGGGACCACTGTCATTTTGTCATTTTTTTAAAAGAAAAAATTATTGATTTAATATGAAATGCATTTGTATTGTATACCTCATCCAGCACTTCAACTAGTAACTGCTCCTCTTCATCTTGTTTATTATTATTGTTATTTTTTTTTGGATAATTAATCATCATGCTTATAATTAATCCCATTTAATTTGTTACATTTATATATGTTCAGCATAAAGACAAAAATTGATGCTATCATCCCCTTCATCACCTTAATAGTGTTTATGTTCTGAGTTTCTTAATTAGGTTACCAAATCAACAGCAATAAAAACTCCATTTCACTATCTTTCACACCACTTGCCCAGCTTTCTTCTGCATTTCACACTAATATATACTACTCATTAGTGTTAATTATTATCAAAATTTCTCATGGATTAGATACAACTCTAAGCATTCAGGAATATCATTAATTAAAAAAGACATAATGATTGCCTAAAATTAAAGCGTAAGCCACTTTATAAACTACCACTACTCAATATGCTTATGTTAGCTAATCACTCCCTTTCCTCTATGGTTCTAGCTAGATTTATTGTAGTAGAATAATTAAATTAGGTCAAAATATTGCATAAAAGATTACATTTATTCATCATGTGCATATGCTTACCTTAAAGAATAATATCTCATGCCAATCCTTCATACAGAGTTGGCAAAAAATATATATTCTTTATAAAAAAATGTAAAGGACATTTCCTATGGTGATAAAAAGAACATTTCTATTTCTATATAACAACAATCAAATAATATTAAGAACTGACACGCCTCACAAGTCTTCTTATCAGAGTTATTGGATTCACATTAATCCTGAATTCGTGATAATTTCAATAACTCACGTCACCTAAATTTTTAACAATAAAAAATTTTCAATTTACTTTGTTTGATCATTATTTTTTGATTTGATTATTGCTAAATAACTTTAGGGATAAATTCTTTTATTGTCCTATTCTATTTATAAGATAAAAAGAGAATTTTTTTATATTTATAAGTCATGTTATTAATTTTTATCATAAATTTTTCTTTTTATCTCATTAAATTTTAATAAGAGAAAGTACATTATTAAAATGTACATTTTCTCTGTTAAAAAACATAACATATATTTAACCGAATCTCACCTTTCAATAAAGTAATTACTTATCTTTAAATTAACCCTATTTTTTCATATCTATTTCCATTTAATAAAATATTTCATCCTAAAAAAATAATCTATTTAATAGGAACATTTTTAGAAAAAAATAATGATTATATCTTAAAAGGCTTAAAATATCTTATATTTTTTAACATCTAACTTCTCAAAAAATGCTTTATATTTTGAACGGATGGAATATATTTAATAAAAATAAAAATAATATTTTAAATAAAATTAATAAGTTTTAAAATTTTTGATGGTTAAGCATGTTAAAAGTTTGTTATAATTTATAAATGGGAATGGAGAAGTATTTATGAACCGATATTAAATCATTAAAGTTTAAGTATTATTCTCTGCATTAATTAATCCTCCAAGTCCAAAAGGCAAGAAAACACCTGCAAATCAAATCTTGACACAAATCAAGCGTTTACTTCAACAAAATAGTGCTAGCAAAGATGTTGAATGCATTCCGCATGAAGACGCAGTCCAGCCTCCAAATTAAATAACCCAAATCTGATGATGGTGATGATCACATCAGAAACCCTAAAATGTATTAATTACACAGAGTGGTTAGAGCAGGTGAAGAAAGAATTTCTTCCTATTGCAATAATAAATTCAGGTTTCTGGTCTTACAGGTTTCTCACTTCTTTCTTATTTACTTATATCCAATCATCAGCAACTTCACTTGTTAACCAGTCTTCTTCTTCTGCAACGATGAAGCAGCCATCCAAGTCGAAGCCATGGAGGCCACTCACGGCGAATTGCTGCTCCACGAAGGGCCAAACCATGCTCGGCAACTTCAGCCGATGCAAGCCGACGTCGCGATCGGATTTGTCCAAGGACGTTGCTCCGTTGCCGTCGTTTCGGAGGCTGTCGTTCTCGGATCTGAGCCGGTCGTCTTCGATGCGAATCAACGAGGATCTGGCACAATCGTTCGGGTCGGATCTGCACGATTTCCAGTTGAGCGAGCTGCGAGCCATAACGCAGAATTTCTCAAGCAACCTCTTGCTGGGGGAAGGAGGGTTCGGGACGGTGCATAAGGGTTACATCGATGATAATTTCAGGCAGGGCCTGAAGGCTCAGCCCGTCGCCGTTAAGCTTCTCGACGTTGAAGGCTTGCAAGGACATCGTGAATGGCTTGTGAGTAATGCATGCCTTTAATTTTCACACAGACACAAATTTCGATATGCTCGTTGATTTCTTTCACTTATTCTTTATGATTATTAATGAGTTTTTAGCATAATGACTGAATTATAAATTTAAAAATTAAATTAAAATATATTATCATAAGATAAGCTTTTTTTTATTACAAAAAAAAGAATCTAAATTTTTTATAAAAATTAATTTTTCTTTTAAAACTTATTCTCTGTTATTCAAACTATAAGTATTTTTTTTAGTTAATTTTAATTCATAATATAAACAAGATAATATATATATATATATATTATATCAATTTTATTTTATCTCTTATATTTATTAATTTAAATATTTATATAAGTATATCTCTCACTTATCATTTAATATTTTTATAATTAAAACTAAAGATAAAAAAATATATTTATTTTTATGAAAATAAAAACTTTATTAATATATAATTTTTTTAAAAAAATACTTTATATTTTGAATTGGGTCGTTTGGAGGGCTGGCGGCCTGTGTAATGAAACTGACTTCCCTGTTTGAGTCGGGCTTTGAACATAGTAAAAGACAACAAATTGGAGTTTTGGATTAAATTTTCTTAACTTCTTGCATAGAAAAGTTAAAAATTTGTGTACCCAAAAAAAAAAGTTAAAAATTTTCAACACGGAATATGAAAACAAATTTGAATCAATTGAGTGACCCAAAAATATTTAATAAATATCTCAATTATATCTAGTTAAATTTTATTAATACTTAAATATTATTAAAATATTTTTTTTTAAAGATTCAAAACAATCATCATGATCCAGACACTCCTTACTTCAGTTGTTTTTTTTTTAATTTAAAATTTGATATCTTTTGATTATTATATGACAAAATTTTCTATAGCCATTAAATTAAATTAAATTAAATTATTGTTATCATATCATATAAAACATTAATTGAGTAAGTATACTTAAATTACTCATTAATCAAAAACTAATAGAAAACACACATCTGTCTGTCGAGTAGGTGGAGATTATAAATTTATAATCTTGAACTTTTTGGTTGTACTTTACATTTAAAGGTTTTTAATATTTTACTAATAACTGACGATTATGGCCTTTCCCGGCCAGGTCAAACTTTTACCGAAAAGGATATAAAAATTAAATCTTTTTTTTTTTTACAAAATACTTAATTATGTGGATGTGATGGTCACATTATTTAAATTTTACAAATAGTAACTTTTCTTATATTTTTTTTTTACGTGGAGAATGATGTTAAGTTCAAGAAAAGAGAATTAATAATAGATAAATTCTTAATAACACTTTTTAAATATAAGTTACAAATATTTTTTAAATAATTACAAATTCAAAAATTTTAATTACAAATAAAATATTCAAATTGTAAATGTAACTTTTACTTACAATTGAGATTTTTATATGTAATTTTTTAAATTTTTATTTACAATTTATTTTTCAAAACTTTTGTTAAGAATATAAATGTTATTACTTCCCTATTTTAAAACTCTACTATCATTCTCCCCTTTGGCCCTTTCTATTGCCATCAAATCATTTTTTTTTTTTATAAACATTGCCATCAAATCATGATAAAATTAAGAGAGGAAAAAAGATAGGGTCGTTTTCTTTGGGTCCAATATAATGGGGTCAACCCTTTTTTTTTTTTTTGGCTAACTTCATTTACTTTAAATGGCTTTAATTTCAAACAAAGTGGTATATCGAAAGGTGATCCATGAGGAAAGTGTTGTTGTCTTGTAACATTTTTGGTCGGACAATTTTGTCCCCTTTGGTTAATGTGGTGCAAATATTGGGATGTAGGCAGAAGTAGTATTTCTTGGGCAGCTAAGGCACCCCAACTTGGTGAAGCTGATAGGATATTGTTGTGAGGAAGAAGAACGGCTCCTAGTCTACGAATTCATGCCAAGAGGAAGCTTGGAGAATCACTTGTTCAGAAGTATTAAGCCCTCCTTTTCACCTTCTTCATTTTCATCTCATACAGATACAGACTCAGTTCATAGATCCATGTTCTTGTGGTTTCAGGGATATCATCACTGCCATGGGCAACTAGATTAAAGATAGCAATTGGGGCTGCTAAGGGCCTCTCCTTCTTGCATGGGGCAGAGAATCCTGTCATTTACAGGGACTTCAAAACTTCCAATATCTTGCTTGATTCTGTGAGTAATTAATTATAAACCAAAATATTCTCTCTCTCTCTCTCTCTCCCCCCCCCTTTTCCTTTTAAATTATTTAACATAAAGCCTTCTCTCACAACGTGCAAGTCTTCAATCGCTCAAGATGCTCATCTGGGTTCTGTTTTGCCCAGGATTTTACAGCAAAGTTGTCAGATTTCGGATTAGCAAAAATGGGGCCAGAGGGATCTAAATCTCACGTTACCACCAGAGTCATGGGCACCTATGGATATGCAGCCCCTGAATACATCACAACGGGTAATTAATCAAACAGGTTTCAACCCCGTTTTTAAATAAATTTCAACTTAGTTAATTAATTTTAAATTTGTACCATATTTAATCCATCAGATATCATTGTCCTGTATTAGAATAAGTTAAAAGACCAAAGTTTTGAAATTACCGCCTTCAAACCAGCAGTTGGTAGTCAATAATATCAAATGAGGCACGGTTTACCTATTCTCTAAAGCAACTGAAACAGCATCTGAATGGTTTTCAGGTCACTTGACCACAAAAAGTGATGTGTATAGCTTTGGGGTGGTCCTGCTAGAACTACTAACAGGAAGAAGGGCAATGGAGAAGACAAGACCAAAGACTGAGCAGAACCTTGTGGATTGGTCAAAGCCTTATTTGAGTAGTTCTAGGAAGCTGAGGTATATAATGGATCCAAGGCTTGCAGGGCAGTACTCTGTGAAGGGTGCGAAGGAGATGGCTCGTTTGGCCCTGCAATGCATAAGTCTGAATCCTAAAGACAGGCCGAGGATGCCGGCCATTGTTGAAACTCTTGAATACTTGCAGCAGTTCAAGGACATGGCTATTACATGTGGACAATGGCCTGCTTCAGCGAAATCTAGAAATGGATCTTCTGATAAGATCAAAATTGATATCAGAGTTGGTGCAAACCACAGGAAGCCCTCTCCTGTAGTTTCAAGCAAAAAAACTTGAATCTGCCAATTCTTTAAAAAGGAGAGGTATCTGATTGAAGTGTAAGTATTAGTTGTGGTATGGTCTACTATATGCACATATATATATATATATATATTTGTAAATGTATAAACAGTATATGCGGTATGTATATATCTAAATGCTACTGAGTGTAATATAAAATATTGCTTCAGAGCTGAGAGCTCTTTTAAATCACGATTAAATGAAAATTGGTATATTCTACCTCATTGTTTAAGAAGTAGAAACTAGAAACTTCTTGTCTGAGTTCAGAATCAAGCATAAGCTAACATTTGATTTTCAAAGTCAATCCAATAAGCTTTATATATGGACAAGGCGTTGAATTGTGAGGCTGGTATTGCTTATGAGAATATTTGTATCTACTTCTTTATGAGGAAACGGTGATATACAATGATGACTTTTTCTTTTCTTAATAAGTTTGGATGCAATTTTTTAGACCTTGTGACAATTAAAATCTCTCCATGGAAAAAAAAAAAAAGAACTACCACTTCGTAGTTATATAGTTAAAAAAGAGCTCAATTATTGAACTGCAAGCTTTTTCCATGTAATTTAATAGTTATGGGATTGCATCAGTATCAATATAAAAAATGTGGGGAATAACATTATTTACGAGCTATTAACAAAGTGATTGATCTCGAATCCTATACTAATGTTTAGGCTCACTCAAATTAACGTGTAAATACTGGAAAAATAATTTCAAGTGTTTTTTACAATGAAAACAAAGCCGACATGATTACATTATCCACTTCCATATTCCAGACATGATAAAATCGACGCTTATCAAATCTTAAAACTTTCAATTAGAGGTATTGCAAATACACCCAACCAAACCTAACTTCGCCTTAAAATAATCCAATTGGTTCCCCAAGTCAATGTGTGCGTTCATGCGTGTGCTTCAAACGAACCACTCTAGTTGACTTCTATGATTCTGTCTTTCACATGGTTTCTTAAAGGAGTTTGTTGAGTGGCAATTTTGGCTTTGACTCAACTTTTTACATATCATTATAAAATTGAGGAAGAGAATAAGAAACCACCACATTTTTCTGACTCATCTTTTTCTCCTCTCCAATCGTAGGGAAGAAGACAACATTTCTTCCAAAATTAAAAGGCTACAACTTTACCAGAAATTCAAGATAAGAAACGGGTCCTCTGTGTCTCCATTCCAAGTCTCATTAGGGTGGGCATGTTATAACCGTCGTTCATATCATTAAAAATAAATCCAATCATAAAGTACTAGTTACGAAAGAAGCCCCAAATCTAAGGCACATGAGACCCACCTTTTTTCCCTCAAAGCAGGCGTGAGAAACGCACTTGAAGGAGGAAAAAAAACTCAAACCCAACCCACTTGCTCTAGTGCGTGCATACCTCCTTCCCCAACCTCCTGTGTTTTTATCCTAATCTTCCCCTTTTTTCCTTCACTTTCTGTGTTGATACCTTCAGAATGCAAATTTCAACAACAATCAAGCATAACCTATGCCAATAATTTCAGAATCTCCTGAAGAAGACGAAGAAATGGCCTTCAACAACAAATTCAGGAAACCCACTTCTTCCTTTCAATACAGCCTCTGCACCACTCTGTTTTTCATTGTTCTCTTCACCATACCTGCTCTGTTCCTCCTTCATGCCCCCACCACCACCTCCATATGCACCACCTTCGCCAACCACATGAAGCCCTGGTCAGGTGATCTTCGCTTAGCTGAGTTCTCATGGAACCGCCTGCAATTTTTCCAAGACCAGACCCGACCAATGGCTCTGAAAATCGCTGTCTTCTCTCGGAAATGGCCTATTGGCACCACCCCAGGTGGCATGGAGCGCCACGCTTACACCCTTCACACGGCCTTAGCTAGTCGAGGCCATCAAGTTCATGTCTTTACCTCTCCCCAAGATGAAGGCACTTCAATCTCATCAAACAATCATCAAGCAGGCGCACCTTCTTCACCTTACATTCATTGCCATGAAGGCGAACCAGGAAGGTGGAGATACAATAAAGCTTGGGAACAATTTCAGCACGAGAACCGGCGAGAACCCTTTGATGTTGTTCACTCAGAAAGTGTAGCACTCCCTCATTGGCTTGCTCGTAACCTTTCAAACCTTGCAGTTTCATGGCATGGAATAGCCTTGGAGAGCCTGCAATCTGATATATTCCAAGACTTGGCAAGGAGGCCCGGTGAGACAACATCCCCGGCTTTTACCCAAACCTTACAAGGGGTTGTCCCTAAAGTTCTAAACGAGATAAGATTCTTCCATAATTATGCACATCATGTAGCTATTAGTGATAGCTGTGGTGAGATGTTAAGGGATGTTTATCAGATTCCCAGCAGAAGAGTCCATGTGATTCTAAATGGCGTTGATGATGGTGACTTCAGGGAAGATGTAGAATTGGGAAAAGAATTCAGAGCCAAAATTGGCATTCCTAGTAATGCAGGTTTAGTTCTTGGTGTGGCTGGAAGATTGGTGAAGGACAAAGGACATCCTCTACTTCATGAAGCATACTCCAAGCTAATAACCAAGCACCCCAATGTGTACTTGATTGTTGCTGGCTCAGGACCATGGGAGAATCGGTACAAGGATTTAGGAGGCCAAGTTCTTGTTCTAGGATCTATGAGTCCGTCCATGTTAAGGTCATTCTATAATGCCATTGACATTTTTGTGAACCCCACGCTTAGACCACAAGGACTTGATCTTACTCTAATGGAGGCAATGATGAGTGGGAAGCCCCTTTTGGCATCAAGATTTCCAAGCATCAAAGGTAGTGTGGTTGTTAATGATGACTTTGGTTTTATGTTCTCTCCAAATGTGGAGTCCTTGTTGGAGTCACTTGAAGCTGTGGTGAAGGAAGGTCCAGAGAGGCTAGCAAGAAGGGGAAAGGCATGCCGTGAATATGCAGCTTCCATGTTCACGGCTACAAAGATGGCTTTGGCATACGAGAGGCTATTCCTATGTATGAAAGATGAAGCATTTTGTACCTATCCTTGAAGGCTTAGGTTATAGACACTCCATTCTTTCTTCTTTTTCTTTCAATTTTTCTCCATGATATCATACTACAATTTTTATATCGGTTCCATATGTTAATCCAATCAATAAAATTTATTTTCTTCTTTTTCTTTCATTTTTTCTCCATGATTTCATACTACAATTGTTATATCGGTTCCATATGTTAATCCAATCAATAAAATTTATCAATCACATCCAGGACATTGTCAACGTCATTACCATATATGGGAGTGCAGAATTTGCATGTACTTCTATGTTACAATGGAAAGGATACAGCTGTGAGCCTGTTTCTTGTTTAAATTGTACAAATTGATGATGACTAAATAGAACTCACGTCACAGGACTTGACAAATGACTTTGCTTTAAGTTAGAGTTAAAACCCAACGCATTGATCACGTCAGTTCATAATTCATACGTTCTGCTCTGTCACTAACAGAAATTGAGAAATGACTGAAAGTGTTATACTTTCATAGTTACGAAGTCAGATGGAACTTGTCTACTTTTTCTCCCCAAAAATTGCTAAGGGACTCAAATTATAAAAAAATAAATTATCAAAGATAAATATTATTTCTTGAGAGAAAATGTAACATATGGAAAAGTTTGCCAACTAGAGCTATATTTCAAATGACGGGCACTGTAAGTGTAAAATAGTGCAGAAGTCACCCGGCCAGAGCAGCCCCACACAATAGTCTTCTGAGGATCAGATCCATCATGCCTTGAACACTCGGAGCCCTTGCTTCTGCATTCTCCAGCAGAATCATGAGGACAAAGACAAAACCATGTCCCATCCAAACAGAAATATTGTACTCAGCTCAGTCCGGATCCAAATCATGCCCTACAAAACAAGTAAGCCTTCCTGAAGCTCCAGATGTCACCGTGAAGCATTTAATGAATATTTCCTCAATCCTCATGCATTTAAACTATAATTCTTCTCCTTTTTGCTACTCAATCTAAATCTCGTCTACACTCAACCCCGCTTTATCTTTGCCTATCTGTATCAGTATCCAAAATCAAGAAAGCCCTATACAAGTCCTAGCTTCTGCATATCTCCAATGAAGCCAAAACAATGATCTTTATGTTTCTTCAGAGCCACAAACCTAAAACAGAATTGGTTGTGTTGATATACGCTTGTTTTCAAAATTATCATACGCGTGTTTTGTTCTTACGAACAATAACACACTAGAAGCTAGTCCAATGAGAGAGATACATCCCCACCATACAAATGTCCAGAAGTAGCACTGCCTTCCCATGCACACCGCCATGTCAGATACTGTTGATTGTGTTGAGGGATGCGCATTGGCATCATAAACAACTGCAGCAAGCCAGCCATAGAAAAGAGATCCAATTGGGATATTTGTGATGAGAATATTGTGGTTGACGCTCACACTGTTTGGCCCAAATAGCTCAGAAGTAATTGACACGGCAGCTGCAAAAATGAACCCAGAGCTCAGCCCAATAAGTGCTGTGCCTGTATTAAGTGCTACAGCAGTGTCTGATGCAGCAAGCAAGAAAAACGCAATTGGGGTTGGTATTAGCCCAATTGTGAGCCATCCAGTCCTGGCAAAGTAAAATTTACTGCAATGCAGAAATACCAGGAGTTAGAACTGCTAAAGACATTTTTCTTAAAGTGAAGAAAGAATTTTTGAAAAAAACGTCAAATTATACATAACTCTCCTGAATTTCATAACTTCCATGACACTTAAAAATTTACAATAAACCCATCCTAAACCTATCATTGATGGATAAGAATACTTACCTACGAATATAGTCTGGCCCAGCTGAAAGCAAGCGGCCAAAGAAGGAGAATGATGAATAAAGCGTGACGAGGGTAGATATATCTGAACTCAGGCCCAAAGATTGGGCAATCTGTCCCATATTATTGCTGTAGACAAGACCAATGGTGCCTCCGCAGAAGTACGCAACATAATAAAGCCAGAAATCCAACCTACGGACAACCATTGAAGCTGAATGTTCTTCACCTAGCATTGTCAACTGATCCTTGTCGATCATTCTCTCACAAAACCCATCGCTATCTTTTGCCGTAAGACTTCCATGCATTGATCCATTCTCACTCAACAGACTTTTAGAGTCACCATTGGTGAGACTATGAATGCTATTGGAACCGGTGAGGAGTTCCTTATGGAGCTCGAGATCATCAACATGAACAAGTATGAAGCCTGAGCCTTCCACCTGAAAGCTCGAATGGATGACATGGCGGAACCAATCACGAGCACAGACAGTTCCAGGAATACATAATGGGAAGATGAGGAGGAATATAGCTCCAGCAAAGTAGCGACGAGCTATAGTTACATCAGAGACAGATGAGCCAAAGAGAAGAAGATAGAGGCCAGTGAAAATTGCTAAGAAGTTCAATATCAGAAATATCAATGAGTCCCGATGAACTGCATCAGGAGGAAGAGGGTCTAAAGCTGGTTGGCGAAGAATTTGGATTAGTGCTGCAAAGGAAGTAAGAAGGGGAACGAGGGCATTCAATAGAAGATACAATTCACTAGACGAGGGGTTTATTGAATTGGCAGCAAGCGTGTAGAGTGCTGCACTAACTCCATTGAAACTCACGGTGAGTGATAATGCAAGTGATCGATTTGCTGGGAAATTCCTAATGCAGAGAACGAAACATACTGTGTTGAACCAACAGATGCTACAGCCAGATAACAAACATAGAAGAAACACCTGCCATATGCAAATTGGAAGTCTGTCAATCTGATGAACGGCTATGAGAAAGTTTTCCGGTAGATTTCAATTCAACCGAGTTTATTATTTGAGAGTTAATTAGCTGTTTCCGATATATATAATCACAATCTAAGAGCTAACATCTGGACCACATAGGAATGAGGGAAAATTCCCTCAATCAAGGTATCTCCTAGTTTTTTTTTTTTTTTTCTGTGAATCCAACTTTCAGAATTATTTTATCCTTATTTAAAAAAAAAGAAAAAGAAGCTAATATCATCAAGAAAAAGCCTTTAGATGAAGGTAGAAGGGTAGTGACAGCAAACTGAAAGATGCAAGGTACAATCTATTAGCTGATCACATGCTATGCACCAAAACACAGATCATAGTATGGTGCACAGCATGTAATTAACAATCACGTGCAATTCGCATCACATAGGAGACAGATTCCAAATGTACCAGATTAATTTTCTTTGGGGTTTTCAAATTTCAACTATACTTCCCAAACCAGCGCAACATGCATTTTCAGAAATTTATTTGTATCTTTCTGGACATGTATCTTTCAGCTTAATAATATATCAAATATAGAGATCCAAGCATATTAAGACCCCCCATATTTCGTACCATCGAGCAATGGCTCGATCGGGATCGGGATGGTTGCAATCGTATTTACGTATTTTTCACTTGCAGATGAAAAGTATCAGATGTAAACAAAAATATCTTTTCAAATTTCAGTTGTGACAAACAGAGAAAGTGACAGATATTGTGTGTTGCAGTGTAGAGTATATAGTTTGAGAAGGACTTGCGGCGAATTTATTTTGCCTTTATTGTTTCTGGTGGGACCACAAGGTTAGAATATGAAAGTGGGTTGAAAGTTATGTAGATGAAAAGGACTTCTCTTAAAACAAGACCACAGAACACAGATTATAAACGATGAAGTCGAGATAATTACCACCTTAAATACAAAATCTTATAAATGCGAGATGCATCTATATGAAGTCATGCTGCATAATACTATAAAAGAGGTGGACAAATCCAATCGTATAAATGAGCGGGAACATGTCTGAAAAATATTAGTGCTTCTTTGGATAACCTTTATAATTAATTTTAGAAGTTAAAATCATGATTTTTTTTAAAAATATATCCAAATACTCATATTTCATGTTATAATCAATTATAAACCTAAAACGGTTTCATAAAAATATCTATAATAATCATTATATATGTCAAAATCAATTTTAAATCTACATCTATTTTTTTTTAAATATCCAAACATCTCTATATATGCCAAATTAATTATAAATCCAAAAATATGATTTGTAAAATAATTTACATGATTTTTGGATAAATTTTTAGAAATTATAATATAATTGAAAATATAGATTAAAAAGTAAATAATAGTAGCTTATGAAATAATCAAACTTTTTTATTCATAATTGATTTTGGCATGTATGGGGATGTTTAAATATTTTTAAAAAAACCATGATTTTTATTTATAATTAATTTTGATATATATAATAAACGTGTGGATATTTTTTTAAAAAACATGATCTTGGATTTATAATTGATTTTAATGTGAAACATGAATGTTTGAATATATTTTTACAAAATCATAATTCTATCTAATTTTCAAGTTTGCTTTTCAAATTTGATTAAAATCAATTTTATTAATGAATTTAATAAACCAATTATATAAAACATATAACATAATCAATTATATTTAAAATCAATCATATTAATTAATTTTTTTCCATAATGAAATCCAAACATACCATAATGTATTCATTTCAGCCTTTAGATGATCTTGAAATTTAACAGCGATGGTCGTGTATTTTGGAACGGAAAGAGCCAGAAGATCGAGGGGCTTGAATAGAAGACGTGCAGTGTGCCCCAGCCTCCAGTTGAGTCCAAAATCCATATTTAAGTATCTAAACTCTCAAGTCTTAACCAAGATACGTGGGAGTTGCGACCATCACTCAAGAGTTATCTCTTGTCAAAGTAAGTTGAAGACACTGAAAAACGCCTTCTAGTATGTCCCAGTGACTCAAAGATGTCGAGAATGATCACAAGAATAATATACTACTAGAAAATAATATTTTTATTTTTATTGATCAAAAAAGAGAGCAGCAAAATCGGGTGGATTCGCCTGATCAGGCCTCGACCAAAAGGGCAACTTATGAGGTCTACCTTTCACTGCGCTTATGGCTCATCGCCATGGAAGACCATGAAGATGTATTGAGTAGCTCCGTCATCTATTGTTCTGCTCGACATTCCAGATGGTAATTTACTCCAACAAGACGGGAAGAATCAATTTCAATACCAAGTAACTTAAAACCTTTTTCGCTTTTGTTCAGGGCGGGAATGGGAGAAGCAATTGCCATGGTGGCTTAAAATTTCTTGAAAGATTTACGTACTTAAAATTACCCAATGAAGTCGAAATTAATTAAGAAACTAAGAGAAACAGAACACAACTTTCTTGTAAACAGAAATAATCTTGATCTTGATTTATGCGAATCAAGTTTCTTGGAACTTTTCTGTGAAGCCAAACTTATGGGAGAAGAAAGACTAAGGGCACGAAAATAGAAAGAGCGAGGAAATTAAGAGGATAGATATAAGTACCAGAGAATAAGGCAAGGTAATGAGATTGCGAAGAAGGAGCCATTGGAGGCCATAACCGAAGAAGCCCATGAATGCGGCGGTGAACATAACGATGGAGAGCGGGAAATGCAAGAGAGCGAGACCGGAGGACCAGCCGAAGACCTTGCCCATGTCGCTGGCGGTGGCGAGGTAGCTGAGCTGGACCTGGGAGATATTGAGGGAGGATTTGAGCAAGGAAGAGTATGCCGAGAAATTGAAATTGGTGCCGGTGAAAGCCTGAATCCATATGGTGGCCACTAACACCATCCACTTGCGAGATTGGCCGGCCATGGCCAGACACAGTTTCAATACCAGACGACGGAGGCGGACTGCTAGCGGCGGAGGCGGTGGAGGCAAGGGGGAGGAGGAGGAAGAGACGAATCTGCGTCGATCGGCGTCTCTACGTGGTCTCATTTATAAACGGTTATGGAAGAAAACTACAATTGCGTCTGTCTACCTCACCTCCGAGCCTGACCCACTTTTTTCAGGCGCAGCTGCCTTCACATCTCACAGTGGTTCTCCCGAATCTTTTTAAATAAAATAAAATAAAATCTTTTGACTCTGTTTTATTGTTCTTGTTTAATTTAATGGGGATTTGTTTTCTTCCTTCAACTACGTATGGCTTGCATCAGAAATGGATCGGAGTCTCGGTCTCTCCATCTAATTTTTAATTTGGTGTTATTATTATCATTGTCGTTATTTCAGAATTATTTGGGCGCGTTAATTGTCGAAAACAAATAATCGATATGAATGTTTAGTCAAAGGATGCGGTTGATTTAGATAATATAATAAGTAAATGATGACATCATTTCTGTGACATTCCTGCATTTTTATAGTTTTTTTTTTAAATTAGCTCAATAACTTTAAAAAATACAGCTCTCATAAATTATGAATAAAATTTTTAAATATTTTAAAATATGACTCATTCATAAAATTAATTAGATACATTTTACCTTTTTATTCTCAAATTAAATTTATTATTAAAATATAACATATTTATTGTAACTAATCCTTCACTAATTAAATTTTTCTTTTGTTTTCCCTAAATCATTCCTTTTCTTCTTTGAATATAAAATTGTTGGTGTATTTTTTTATCGCAAAGTTTTTCTTCTCTCTATCTCTGTTTTTTTCAAGAACACTATGAAGAGAACATTAGACATTAAAGAAGAATCTTCATTTCTAGAAGCAGAAGATTAGGTTGGAATCTATTATCTATCATCAAATTTTCACCATCTTCATATCTCTAAGTAACTTCAAAAAATTTTGAGAACTGTGTTTCATTTATTTTAGATAAATTATTATGTATTTTTTATATTATTGATCTGCAATACTACATCATTGATATATGTATATATATATATATCAATGATAAATAAGTTTATGTCTGATTGTCTAGTTATGTTGATCTGCAATATTATATCAGTGATATACAACACTATGTCAACGATGTAGTGTCGCAAATCAGTAACATGAAAAACATATAATTATTTGCCCAAAACCAATCAAACACAGTTCACAAAAATTTTTAAACTTTTAATTTATTACAAAGAGTCAAATACCTAAACTAATAAAATAAAAAATAATAAATCTATAGATCTATTTCCCTGCCAACGTGCTTTATTTTGTTGAGTATCGTCGATATATCTCATCTTGCGTTTGTCTCTTACAATTATGATTGTGGCTCGCTCACATTGCTCTACTGCCTCGTGTTTGTCCTTCTAGCTTCTAGTTTCGTCTTCTCTCTTGCATTCATCTCTCTCATTCTAAAGATTTCTTGTATTTTGAATCTTCTAGTATTTGCAAAAAGTAAATATTAAAATGGTAGTTTTGTAAATTAATTAAAAACTAAATATTAAAAGAGTCATTTTTAAAATTTAAAAAAGGATAAATTATTTCTTTTACTTGGTTTTATAATATGGACTATATGTACAAAATAGTATAAAGGCAAATAACAGAGAATATTTTTTAATATAAGTCATGAGATATTAATTACATTTTTAATTTTAACATTTTTTCTAAATTTATTAATTATGTGAAATAATATAATGTAACGTTAAAGTTTTTTCATTTAAATATACATAAAATTAGAAATTTGCTCCTTTTTAGACAAATTAATGACCTAATCATTCTTTTTTTATTTCAGTAAGGTGATTAAATATGCTTTATAAATAAGATCATTAAAAGTAGTACAAATATGAGGGTTGGATTTTAATTTAAGCTCCAATTATTGGGTTAAGTGATGATAGTCTTTTTTGCTCACGTAAATTTTAGTTGGTCGCGCATTTTTATAGTTTTAATTATGTAAGTTTTTGTTGGGAAAAAAAGTTGATGTAACAACCTTTTGTCTTAATTATATAACAATGTTTTATATTATCTCGTACGCACTGCTCTATATATATATATATATATAATTTTATTAAAAAAAATTATAATTTTTTTGTAAATCACTTGTAAATAAAACTCGAGGGAATGGTAGTTAATTTTTTTCTCATAATATTGCCCTCCTTAATGATTGTAATTTCTAGATATAATTATTATAGTCTTTAATTTTAGTGAAGGAGAAAAATAGAAAATAAAATATCTTTAAAAATTTAAATATCTTAAATATTATTTTTTAATAACCATAAAATTGATTGACTTTATTTTATAATTAAAATCGAAGGGAGTAGTGGGTCCCTTGAGTGTTATATATAAATCACATTTCAAAGATTTTGAAATATCTCTGATCTTTTTATTAATCATCTTATATGCTTGTTGAAACATTAAATATTTGTCCCATATACTCCCTCCTGTTTATGACATGGGATATTTTTTTAATAAACCCTACTTAACCTAAAATATATGATACTGGTAGTTCTTGTAATTTTTTTTTTAACTAAGCCCTTTATTTATTATACTTTTTTTCAATGTCCTTTAGAATTTCAATTATCAATATTAAAATTTAATTCAATTTAGTACCAGTTCATATTTAAGGGTCAAAACATAGTAGTTATTCTCTGTAACTATTATATTTTATATTAAATATGATAATTTTTTACAGTAATTGTCATATATTAATATTATATTTGTTTTTTAAATAGAGGGCTTCTTTTTTGTGTCAGCCACTTCTGATTTGACCTCAAGTAATCGGCATCTTATCCCACCAAGAAATTAGAAACGTAACATTCTGTTTACTCTTAAACTATATTATATGCTTTTTTTTTTTCTAAAGGAAGACTTTTCACTTTTCGCTGCTTCTTCTTCTTTTTGCTGGTGAAGATTTTTAGTTGTAGATAATAGATTTGAACGATTGAATTTGACTTTTTAAAAGACATTAATTACACCAGCGTAAATACTAAACACGAAAACAATTTTGTTACATGACTTAATTAATTGTTAAACGGATCGAATATCATAATTTTTTTTTATGAAAGAATATCACAAAGTTTTCGATTTATATATATACACATAACTTTTATTTTAGGTACTTAACCAGAAAAAAACTTTTATTTTAAGTACGTTAGCCCCCCCCCGGAGCGCCACATGGACTTCAATTTTTTCAATGAAATATATTATTTATACATTTGGAAAAAAATATATATATATATATATATGTTAAAAATAACCAAATTTGGAAAAATATGTTTTACAATAATATATATATATCTACAGAGCTTAATATGTAATCAAATATAATGCGATGGTTTCGTAATGTAATGTAAAATATTAGAAAGGTGCTGGACATATATTAGTGAATACTCATCCAATTTTTTTTAAGTCATTTCTATCAATCTTATCAATACTAATGTAAAAAAGTATAAAAAATAAGTGTGTATAATTTCTAATATGTTCTTATATAACAAATTCAAAAAATAAGGTCATGTTACTTTTTCCCTTTCATAAAAGGTAATTTTAAAAATACATTTTAACTAATACCTAAAAAATTATACCGTAACTTATAAATGGAACTAAATAAATCTTTTAAAATTTAACTTATAAATAGGATTAGAAGGAGTAAGTATTAAATTGTATACACACACTGACGGTACACTCAATTAACACGGTCCTCTAATTGATAGTGAAAATATATCATAGAACAAATAATTTCACCGTTCGAGGAGAGGGCTTGTCATACAATGTAAGAATGCAATTCGATCTCGAATTTTTGTATTTGAATTAGAGATCCATCATCATCATCATCATTATTAAAAAGTAGTTAGTGGCTATACCACGGAAACTATATATCAGGTTTTGTAAAACCCAGCACACGGTAGCAAGAACAAGATCACTAGATCATCAGCTTGTGCAAGAGCCTTACACGCTATTTATTTTATTTCATGCCATGCATCCATTTATGTATAAATATTTATGATACCTATAAATAATTATAAATATTAGAGAATTTCACACAAAATTCTACTCTACAATTTTTATTCTATTTTATCTTGTGTGCTAGGTATAAATTTCATTGTCAATGGACGCAATGCCAGGACCTTAGATCATAAGGTGCAATATTTTTAAAATTAATAATTTAAAAATAATTTAATAAAGGCATTATATCTTGCAATGTTAAGCAAAATATTTTTTTTTAACATAAGTCACTAGACAATTATTCAAAAAGTTAGACTAAAAGGTGCAAAACATTTGAATCAAGAAGTGCAAAATATTAAAACATATATATGAATCATTTTTGTAATTTTTACTAAATTCAAGGGACACATTTGCCCTCCTGAATTCTATGTAGTGCCGCGTACGTATATTAGACATGCATGCATACGTACATGTCATTATCAGTGACTATATAATGCCTAAATGCCCACATAATAGGTGAGGCCAAAGAAAATAAAAATAAATGAATGGCTACAATTATAACATTAACACATGTATATAATATAATATAATTGTAATTATTTGCAGGAGCATGCACCGACAGTTTTTTAAAACTTATATATATATATATATATATAGCGAAAGCCAATGATGTTTGCATACATTTGTTTAATTGATTATTAATGATATGTGTTTTGTTTGCATTAGTTACTTAATAATGTGATTACTATACAAATATGAAAGCATTATAGATATTTAATTAAGAGAGATCTATCATTTGCTTTCAATATCTTTCAATATCTCAGAGGAGATCATTTGTACTGTTGATGAAACTTACTCGCTCCTCGTATGTGGTGTAAAAAAACAAAACAAAAAAAAAATTAATGGAGGGAGGAGCGAAGGCAGAGGCCATGTGGGTATGATAATCATGAGATCTCATCAAATTGTGAGGCGAAACTGAGATTCAATGCTCACAATGGATCGCAAACGTCCAGAATACAATAATGCAGAGAGCATGAGAATTAATAATATGGAAACCAGACACAAATAAACAAAAACGAATTAAGGAAAACCATGTGCTTTGGTGTTGTAACAAATGAACCACCATCCAAATATTATCGAATTGATTAGGCTAGTAATAGTATATTATATATATATATATATATATGGAGAGAGAGAGAGAGAGAGAGAGAGAGGCACATGCATGCATGGATTTCCCATTATGGCGTCTTGTCGCATCCATCTCCCATGGATTCAAATTTCGTGTTTTGCTTGTTCAGGGTTAGTGCCAGCTTCATGTTGGTGCGAAAGCATTAGGAGCTGTGTAAGTGCTTCGAACCAAAAGGCCCACAGGATACAAATTCTAATTGCTTTCTCAATAATAATCGGTTTGCTTTGCTTAAATCTTGCTTCCAATTAATGAAATGTTTCATTAATTGGACTAGTTCCGTGGCCGTGACGGTTCTTTTTGAAAATGTGATCAATAGTGCTCCCTATATATATATATATATATATATTTATGAAACTAGATTTTATGTCTGTGCCATGTCTTTGTTTAAAGAGAACCAAAAGAGAGAGAGAGAGAAGATTTTAATGAGTTCAGTTTTTTTTTTTTTTCAAAGGACAAATACGTTGTAAAACTTTCTAGCCACAATTTCTCCATTTTTTTCTAAAATTTAAGTCATTGAAATTTAAAATCAACCTCCCAATCATTTTCTTTAAGCAAACAAATAATAAAAATTAACAGGAATTAAATTACGAGTACATATTAATTTGATAATTTTATAAAAGGTAATAGTTTTTAGAAAGTGTGAAATAAAACTGCATAGGTGGTTAAAAATAAATAAGTATAATAATAAAAAATAATTGCTCCTTCCGTTTAAAAATATAATATATTTTTAACTGAATCTCACTCCTAAAAAAATAATTACCTACTTTCAAACTAACCCCATCTTTTTATATTTATTCATATTAAACACCCTATAATAAATATAATGTCATTATCAATAGGGACACTTTTGAAAAAAAAATACAATAATTACACTTTAAAAAATTAAAAATGCTTTATATTTTTTAACGGAGGGAGTACATATTTTTATTTCTCTAACATACTTGTTATTAGAAAATAGAAATAAGCAATAGCTTGTTTTATTATAAAATTTTCTATCTCATATATAATCAAATATAGATAACAATTTATTTTAATTTATCAACCAGTATACTCATGTAAATTAAAATTCTAAAACATATATCTTGTTTTAATATTTTTTTTCTTTTAAATTGTATGAACATCTTATTTCTTTTAATTTGTTATGTCCATGCATAATAAGAATATATATAACAATAGAAGGATGAAAATTAATCTCTTCTGGAAGAGATTCCTACATTTAATGACCGACTATGTTTTGAATAGAACTGTCTTCAATGGGTGAATATCTACAAAAAATTAAAAAAACATATATAACAATTTATTTTATTCTTATGCAAATTATTTTAAAATATGAAATCAAGTGCATGTAAAAAAATATAAACAATTTTTTATATGCGATCCCCATATAAATTAAAATTTAAACAACATATTCTAGTTTAATAGTGCCATGAATATAAATAACCACTTAAATATAAATAAAAACATATTCCCCTAATCAAACACGTAGTAAAATTAATAAAATTTAAATATTAGGTAAGTACTCACTAAATAATTTTACAGCAAATGTTAACTTTTATAATGTATAAAATAAAATTATATAAGTAATTCTAAATGAATGATTGTAACACTGAAAGAATAAATAATTATATTTTTTTCATTTTATAAACAAAACTTGTTTTATTATTATCACATAAATTATTTGAAAAATTGTTACTGAATACCCATGCATATTAAAATTTCAATGAACAATTTGTTATTTCAAGATGTGTTATTATTACATAAATTAAAAACATGGAGTAAATAAACATGTTTTACTTTATAATTTATTACTCATGCATATAAAAAATATAAACAACTTATTTTATTTTAAAATTTGTTATTCATGTGCATACTAGCAATATAAAAATTATCTTACCGAAAAAACTTTCACTATGTGCAAATTTAAATCTATACAATAATTTGTTATATTTTATTAACTGTTACCCCCAATGTATGTATGTGTGTGTTAAGAAATAAACATCATATCATATTCTATTCTAAACTTTATTATTCCATGAGTCATGTGTATTAGAAATTATTTTATTGTATTATTTTCTACAATTTGTTACACTACATATATAATAAAATGATCAAAATATGCATAGAAAATAAGTCAGTCATCTTCATAAAAGAGAGAAATATTTTAGTTTGTGAGATTGTGAGTTATGATTCACAAGGTTTTAAAAGAGTATGGTTATTCTCACATTTTTTTAAGTTTTCCCATAAAAAGATGATACTAAGATAAATTAAATGTGCAATTAATTTATCAAACTAAAATGAAGATTTTATTTTTTATTTTATTTCTTTAATTCATTCTATTCACATTGATAAAAAAAATATATCAATTCAATTCATGTTCTTTCCTACGGCCAAATGACTCCTAAAAGTTTAAACAACAATTTATTTTTATTGTATAATCTATTTCCTTTATCATGTTAAAAATATAAGCAACAAATTATTTATTTAGAATTTATTATTTTACATAAATTAAAATTCTAAAAATAAAAAAAATTCTTATTTGGCTGCATAACTTTTTTTTTTTTCAATTTGTAATTTTATTACAAGTTTCATGCATATTTTTTTGAAGCAGAATATAACGACCTTCCTTTCGTTTTAGCAAAATTATAATGACCTCCCTTTTATTTTATAAACATACACTTTAGTACAATCTTTAATACCGCCTGGAATATTCTATTAATGGCTGTAAAATACTTATTTTTTATTTTTTATTTTATTAAAAATTTTAAAATTTTTAATTTCCTTATGATCTAATTGTCTACTTTCTCTCCCAATTTTTTTAAAAAATTAAATAATTAAATATGTCAATATTTAAATAAATAATTTAAAGTTTCCATGTTAAAATTAACGAAATTTAAATAAAAATAGACGTAAATTATATTGAGTAGTTTATTATATTAAAGTCTTATTTCATAAATTTTTTAACTGCACATTTGAATATTATTTTGGCCAATTTGTGTGTTTAATTTTAAAAAAATTACCAAATAAATATATTTAAATAATAAAAAATAATTATTTGGGTAATTTGAATGGTTTTAGACAATATTTATATTTAAATAGGGGTATGTTGGTCTGACACATTTGATTTAATATTCAACTAATAATTAGGTGGATGAAAATAAAATTTTAAAAATATTAAAATAAAAAAAATATTTGTATTTCGTAACTATTTATACGAAAAGTTCATATAGGAATAGAAGAAATGAATCATTAATGAAGATAAAAGAGAAGAGAGGACCAAATATTTTAATCTTTCTCACTTATAAGTTTCATACTAATAATTTTTTTTTTTAAAGATCTCTCATATACCTTTTTTACTACAGGGCCTACCTTATTGTTTACTTCTTAATATATTATATTTAAAAAATTAACAAATAAATTTTTTTAAAAAAATCAGATGGGTACTGACGTACTGTAGATCACGCATCCAACCATAATTACAATATATTACAGATATGTTATAGATTATGGATATAATTACCCATTATGGGTTAAGGAAATTTAGGATACCAGTACTCATGCATAAAAATACCTTTCAAATCCCTTCTTTCTCGTCTTGTTTATAATTACAGGGAGTATATCTCATGGTTTTAATGATGATTTTTTAGCACAAAAAGCAAGTTTAACACCTTGAAAGCTAGCGGAACCGATCCTACAACTTCCTACAAATGTGGAAGCTTGGTAGTGCTACTAAGTCGCAAGATCTTCAATAATGATACTATTGTCTTCTTTTGCTGGCTTCCTTTCGGGATATTTTTTTTTAAATATAGATCCTACATTCATATATTCACATATGGGAGAGAAAAATGACATGAAATATTATGACAGTCCAGAATTTACATTTCATTGAATGTAGTTTGTGCGTCTGTCGTCACTTCTGCACACGCTAAAAATTTTGGATTAAGGCTGTCGTTCGGGTTGTGTTTTTATTTTGGACCGGACATTCTTGTCCATGTAAACATGATAACAGATATTGTAGAAGATAAGATGAAATAGATAATTTTAAGCCTTCTTCTTTCATGGTAAAAGATGAAGTTCAACATATCTTATCACAGATAAATCAGTTTCTAGTACAAATACCATCTCTATCATGTACAAGTTACATCAGAGAAAGGAAGTCTTGCTGTCTTCTGCAGTTCTGATGTTTCATGTCAAGATAAAAGATAAAGTTCGAACCTCCTAAATACAAAGCGCTAATCTCCCTAGCCTTCTGCCAATAACACGAAGAATTTTACCCTTTCTTTAATCTGGTTTCTTTAAGTTCATGCATTTATCTGATGCTTGCCTAAACAAATCCTGCACCAGATTTAATTCCTTCTCTGACATCAACATATCAACAATGTTAGTTAGGCAGTCACAGATCACATTCACCAGCAAGTCATACCAACGCAGAAGATGAAGACTAGCATTTAAAGGATCAAGAAACTAACTTCTCATTTTATTGTTGTTGTAATTCCAATAAGAACTGATGTAAGTGGACCACATATTCACATTGACAAAATTATTCTGCTTCAAATGAGAAACAAATGTGACGCCATCTACAGATCCCGGAAACAATCTTTTATTGGTTTGGTTTTCTCGTACTTTCTCCTAGAAAATGCTGTTGGTTACATAGAAAACTAATATCCCAGAGCATCCTCTTACAATTAATTGACTTATAGAAGGGTTTTGAAATTCTCTTTATGCTATTTATAATTAATATACCTTATGACTAAATAACAGACAACGCAAAGTTCTGGAGAATAGAGTGAAGAAGGGAAACAGACCTGCAGCTTCCAATTGCTTCTGAAGTTCTTGGCCTATTACATCATTTTCAGCCTGTGAAGATTAAAAGATCAGTGTGAGAACATGAATTAGATTTAGCAGCACCACACTCTTACTAGGCATGGAAATTATCGGATAACAATATGTTTCCATGGGTGTTTCAAGGAAAAATCCCCACATAATATTAACCTTATAAGCCAACAAGCCATGAATGATATACGAATATTAATAAATGAACTCATCTCCATACCTGTAACTCTGCGATCCTCTTAAGTTGTGCTTCTTCCCCACCCTCAGATATAGGAAGCGCAGCAACTAATGCATCAAACTGGACAAGAAACAGATAACATACTCAGAGGATCACTAGGAAGTCATGAAAAAAAAAAAATCACTTTGTTCCTTTTAAGAAGGGACACACATTAAGAAACAAGGATTGCAAGTCTCTATGGAAGAAAAGATGCCATCTCATACAGCCTTGTGCCCTTGTGAGCCTCCATTAACAATCAATCATCTATTTTGTAGGATAAACAATAAGTGGAACTTATTTTCACCCCAGTATTCATATAAACATGAAGCCCTCTTACTCTACGAGTTGAGTCATGTCTGCCCAGAAAGGATATCATGACACCTCTTAAGTCTGAATAGCATTATCTTTTATTTGTACAAACTTAATAGCATTCTTGATACCAGAAAAGTTTAATTATTTGTAATTTTGTCAGTACTATATGTTTCAATACATAAACATATATTTGACGTATTTCCATATCTCAATTTAAGTTACCATATGCATATCCGTCAATACTAATGTATTAATCTGATCTTTTAAGTTTATTATTGCATTACATGCCCTTGAGCTTTGGATTCCACCATACGCTACTGATTATGTCATGTTTGGTTGTGTTTCATGTGCTTCACACTCTAAAATTTCCATTCCCACTGCATGTGACAGAAAATTGACCTCATATACTAGCCCTAGGGCTTTGACTAAAAATCTATGTACCTGCTTTGCAGCCTTTACCAAAGCGGCACTCATAAGCTTGGGCTGTTCTGCAAAATTTGCTGCATCCTCTGTGGGATGTGCAGGTGGTTCAGGGTAATTTGGCGACAGACGATTAGGAGGAGCATCCCTTTGCAACGTCCCAACAGTATTAAAAGCAAGATGGGCGATTAAGTTTACTTGTTCTTGCAGTTGAGAGATGATATCCATTACATGGACCACTCGTAGAAAAGAATTGTCTCAAGTAAAATTTAACTGCAAAAGAAAAGACACTAATTATATGAATATGTGTACATGTATTTAAAAATAAACGCTTTATCTTGATATGACAACATATCCCAAAGTTACTCAAAACATTGACACTTCAAAAGAAATAGAAAGTAAAGGATGGTGGACTTGGTAATGACAATGAGTAGGGACATGGCAAAAATTTTAAGGTATATCTAGTCAAAACTTAAGAACATGGCAAAAAAAAAAAATCATGTAAAAGAATAATACTTGAGACTTTAAACAAACAAACAAGTCTTATGCCATTAGATGAGGTCGACTACATGGATTGCATGATGTCATTATGCTCTATCATCAATCAAACTTTTAGAAATATTGTTAATTAAGAGGTCTCATTCAAAAACTTTCATAAATGTTCTCTTTGGATTCCTCTACCCCTCTTCACTAGGCTCGAGGCTATATATTTTACTCTCCTCACCGGTGCTTCCCACAGCCTTCACTAAACGTGTCTAAACCATTTCAAATGATTTTCTACCATTTTTACCACAGTGGGTACCACACCCACTTTTTCCCATATATGTTCATTTCACATTTTATCTTTTCGTGTATATTTGCACATTCATTTAAACATTCTCATCTTTGTTACTCTAATTTTATGCTCTTGTTATCTCTTTAAAACCCAACATCCACTACCATATGACATGGCCACACAATTTCATATAAAAAATTCACAAACTACAAATAAGCAAATCATGAAATGTATGCGATCTAAATCATGCCACACAATTTGATTTTTAATGAAATTATAAGATTCCTTATAAATAATGTTAAATATTTTAAAAAATAATTGATAAACAAAATATTTTCTCTTTCTTATAATATTGTATTTCCATATACGTTAAACCTTTCAATTGGACTGGAAGGCTCCCTTCTCTTATCTTCTATACACCTACTCTGTAGCTATCCAATAAAAAGAAGTTTAGAAGATAATTAATCCATCATTTCTACATAGTATCAAGACTACATCCGTTTGAACCAAATCTATGCATAAACACAGCTACAAAACCCTTCTAAATATTGATCCAGAGATGACTATTAAATAAGGGAAAATCACACTCAATGACCACTAAAGAATGTAATTCATAGACAAGGATCAATAAAGAATTGATTGTTGTTAAAATGGGAACAAAAACTTGTTTTTTTCCCGAATGATGACTTGTTATTGGTTCTTGTCTATGAAAAACATAGTTCAACAATCCTTGTGAGCGATTTTCCCATTAAATAATGTCCAGGTACCCTAGACACTGCAAAAATCCTGGTTACAAGTCCTAGTCTGAACGAGAACAACTGCCTTAACTAAAGTCAATCTGTCCTCATGTGTAGCACCTACACGACCAAACTAGATAAGTGATGCCAATTACAAGAATTGGCATTCCTCAAATCACATTGTTATGAGTTAGTAGTTAATTGAAGTACAATAAATGTCCAGAAGGGGAGCAAATCATGGCCATTAATTTCTTCTAATCCTAACAGTTTAAATTCTCTTGCCCTTAAAGTCCTTTTTAGCCTCTTGTAAGCCTGGGAAACACGAAGAGGAAACGCTATCAGCAAGGAAAATCCATTGCAGAAGAAGGGGGGAAGGGAGAACCCTGCCAGCAACAATCAATGGTTAAAAAAAATGGGGTAAATTTTGAACCTTCATTATTTTGCCTCTCTAATTCGGGTTGTGGTTTTTGCTGCATAAAATCAGCCACATAGTGCAAAACAAGACCATGAAGGCACAATAAGTGAAAAGCAACCATATCAATTCTCAATCCATCCTGAGATAAATAGCTGGCCACAAAATTAGTATTCCAATAACTCTTTAGATTGTAGAAGAAAACAAGTAAGAAACTATCTTCAAAAAGAAAGAGGAAAGCAACTGAATTAGATCACTTAAGCACTCTGCGTTAACAATAGAACACTCGGCAAGTAAGAAATCATCAGAAGGATCTTTAGGACAGATGAAAATCGCAATCCCAGTTGCATACCTAAAAGACGCGAACGCTAGACTCTAAAGAAAACGACCGACGAAAGGAGGGAGGAGACCGGCGAAGGAAGACGGATCTCGAAGGGGGTAGGCCGGTGGGAACAAAGGGCCTGTCTTTTACTCTCGAGCCCTGGGGAAAAAAATAAACAAAAGCAGAATAGGTATTCTGGAAACCAAACACGCGGAGGCAGAACAGTAAGAGATAAGATACAAGAAGGCAAGGCTCCAACTCAACTACTTTCTCTTCATTTGAACCCAAATTCGTTTTCTAGGTCCTGCCGAGATGTTAATGCTGGCTACTCAAGAGTTGCGAATATGAACTATCCATTGGAAAGTTAAGCCATCAAAATTCACTATTGCCAACGGATAATTCAAAAGTTCGGTAATTACAACATGAAAAAAAAAAAATTGGATTGTCGCGTGATAAATAGGACGCAGGGTATCAATGTACTCCCATCCCCAAAGTGCGGGATATGGAAGAACGTGATCATAGTTCGATATAAATTCTAAAAGCGAGAGAAACACATAGACATGCCCACACACATTGAGGAGAGGAAAGGAAACCCAGAGAGTTAGGGCTAGCAGTGGCGTCAGGGATACGGTTTGGTACTTGCGGTCGAAAAGAGAGAACAGGAAATTCAAACAGAGAAACAAGGGAGTTCACCTACAACGCCAGAGCAGTGATCAGCGATAAAAGCACGTCACTGAAGTTGCCGATCAGCCTTCCTTCGCGGAAGCATAGAGAAGCCCTGCACAAGCTCCCGCTGGCAGAGTGGCGAGTCTGTGCGATAGGTGGTGGAGTTGGGGGGGGGGGGGGGGTTTGGTGATTGAAGTTATTTTATTTCCGCGAGGCAAGGGGATGATAGTTCAAGCTTGAGCATGGGGCTATTATTATTGTTATTATTATTTATTACTATGTGGTAATGGATAGTTTATGTATTTTAGTTTTTCATTATTGGATGAAAAATTTTCAATAATTATTTAATATTTATCAAACAAAAGTCATTCATGTAGAACATTACTTGAGTGACTATACTTGTTGCATCTATCAACATTACACTTGTTGTATCTATCAACGTTATATTTGAGATTAAGAGTCTCTCCATTTCTTTTTCTACATTTTCTTTCATTTTTCTCATCTCAACTATATATATTATTTATTAAATAAAATTTTTAAAAAGTATAAAATTAATGAATGATTGAAATGGAAGAAGTGAAGAAAAATGGAGAGAAAGAAATGAAGAGATTCATTTTTCTTATACTTATTTGTTTCAACTTTCAACGTTATTTTATAGCAATGTTCATTGGACTATAATAAAAATAAAGCAAAATATTTGAAGGAAATTAAATTAATTATGAAATTTTTATTAAACTTAACTTAAGATATAAATTTCAAGTTAAAATTTTTAGAAAATAAAAATATATATTGAAAATATATATATGAATGAAAAATAAATTAAGAAGAATAATTTTTTTGAGGAAAAAAAAAGGAAGGGACGGAAGGAACATTAGAATTGCTGGATGTAAAATTTTAAAAGAGTGAAATTGGTGCGATTTTACCGAGTGGACCCATTTCATTTCTCCATCCCGTCTTCTTCTCTCTACCATGCCAGTGAAAGGAATTACGAACTGCGTACTCTATCAATGGAGTTCAAAAATTTTTAAGCTTCATTTGGCGCTTATAACCTCTTCAAGTCACAAAACTGGAGTTAACAATAAAAATGTTGAGTAGAGTAGAGCAAGTTTAAAAATTAAAACTATAATTATTAACGTAAGTGAATACTTAAATTTCATCAGTTTAATTTAATTTGTTGAAAAAGGTTGACTTTTTAAATCTGATTATGTTAAGATTGAGTCTTAAAAGAAAAAAGAAAAGGACCTCTACAATTTAAGTATTATAAGTTTTTGTGATTTCTCTTATAAGTTTAGGAAAATTTTTCATACAAGAACCGCTACAACTCCAACAAATGACAATAATTTTAAAGAAAAGGACTAAGGTTAGCAAAAATGTGACAATTCAAAGACTTTGAATTGATTGACATTGTCAACAACTACTATATTGTTAGAACTAAAGATCACTCTGCCTATGACAATATTCTTAATGGTGGTCCTTGGACAATGTTTAATCATTGTATCCTTGTTCAATGTTGGTCTCCTAGCTTCAACCTAAACTCTAGTACACTAGGCAAAATTGCTCTTTGGGTTAAACTGACCAACATTCCAATAAAGTGCTATGATAAAGAGGTGCTTTAGAGATTAGAAAACTACATTAGGAAAACTTTAAGAGTAAACTCCAACTCATTTTCTAAATCCAACTCCAAGAATGAGTAAGAGAAGACTAAAAGGGGTTAGTTTGTGAGGATTAGCGTGGAAGTGGATCTTAAGAAAAAACTTATTCCAAGACTCCTTATAATAGACAAACTATATGACGTAGAATATGAAAGCCTAAATCTCATTTATTTTGGTTGTAGATGCTATAGACACAACAAAAAGAGTTGCCCTCACAGCCTTAAAAATAGAATCACAAGTGTACCAAATTTTGAAAAATCCATAACTAGCGAGCAGAATAACAGCCATAAACCAACTGAAGAACAAGAAGGAATAGCAGACAAAAGCAATTGGCATCTGGCGTTATAAAAAAAAATAGAACTTAATGGAGCAAGAGTTCGACGAGTTCATGAAATTCAGATAGCCAAGAAATGCTCAAAACCCAAGATACCTAATAGACAGTAAACTTCTGCGCCAACATTAAGGACTTAACCTATTGAATAGGTCGAGATTTGACATCTTATCAACCCTAGAATGCAAAGATGAAGATAAGAGAAGAGTCAAGTCACCTCCAAGCAACGATCAAGCTAAGATTGACCCTACGAAGATTATCAGACAAGTCTGGAGGAAGAAAGAGACACCAGTTGTGAAGAGGGCACGACCTATAAAACAAGAGGCAACGACTGAGTCTTTTAAAGATAGAGATATATGTGTAGAAAATAAATAGAAGAGGGCTACAAGAATTGGGCCATCTTTCAATTGAGAAGACCTAAAAGCCATCAGCTTGTATAAAAATGAGTTTAAGGAGTTGTAGCCTAATAACATTATTAGTAGGCCCACGAAAAGAATACACAATATTGTTAAAGGAAACAAGAGAAAAGTGGACACTTCAGGTAAGCCCAAAAACATGGATGTTGCTCAAATCAATATTGGATTTAAAGACACAGATAAAAAATGAAGCTGGAACTCAATTCTCCCCTAATCTTAACTTTTAGATAATAGCTATAAATGATCCTGGAAATTCTCAAAATAATTCTCCAATTATTTTCGGTCCTCTTCTTGATAAAAAAGCCACTTGACCTGGAGAACAATCAAAGCATGGTACCTAGAACTCAATTTAATAAATTTCCTGATATAGAAATTCACAATAACTTATTGAGACTAGAAGATATCCAAGAATATCTATATAAGAAGATATTAATGAGGACATTCTTGATAATGATATGCTTAATGAAGATTATGACAATCAAGTCCACAATAATGATCTTAAAGATGATGAATTCAGTGATGATCAAATTGAGGGTACAATTAGAGTCAGAAGTAAGAGACAGGCCTGGAGGGCAGCCCATAAATGCTTGTTTTAATAAAGGTTCAAAATTAAAAAATTAGAGTTTTTTAGAGTAACCGGGCTTTAAGACTCAACCCTAATAAGTCATAAAAAAATTGGCTCAGCCTAGGTGGCCCTTTAAACTTGGTTCTCCTTCTTTTTTGTTGCTTCCCTTCAAAACACACTATTGTATACTTGGGAAGAAAACCCTAACCTTACTCACACAATCCTCTCACATCTCGGCCTCTCCTTTAGCCTTCCTTACTCTGCCTCTCCCCTCAATCTCACTCACAAGTCAAGATCTTGGCCTCTCCTTTAGTCCTCCTCAGTCTGCCTCTTGTGTCTCAATCTTTCTCTTTGCCTCTCCTTTTAATCTTACTCACGAGTCAAGATCTCAGCCTCTCCTCACAATTCTCAATATCTCAATCTCGCCTGTCTTTGACTCTTTGTTAATTGTCAACAACTCCTTACTTGATATCAGCCTCTTGATCTCGATAAGCACAAGTTGGCATCTTGATCTCAGCCTCTGTCTCGATCTTGCTCAGTCCCTCTTGATCTCGACAAGTCCCTCTTTGATCTTGTTGCTATGGTTTCATGTAAATCTAGCATTTTGCTTAAGTTTCAACTCTTTTTGTGATTATTGTGGCTATGATTGTTGAAATTTTGGCTAAATCTAAGCATTCTTGTCTACTTTCTTTGGATTAATGGTTAGGACTCTTTAGTTAAGGCTTTAAATGAAAATAGTACTTGCTATACTTCTGGTTTGATGCTCGATCAGAGAATGGTCAATTTGGTTGATTGGGTGTGGGGGCATCACTCTAAAGAGAAGACCACTAGAAGTAGCGGATAGAAGATTGAAAGGAGAAGTTAAGGAAAAAGGGGAGGAAGCTGCTATTGTTAGGGATATCATACGAACGACCAGGAAGGTAATTTACCAAGATTGGGATATGAAAATTCAGTTTTGTAACAGAGAAAGCATGAGATATGCATATTAGTTTTTATTTATTTTAAAATTTAAAATATTTTAATTGTTTTTAATATATAATTTTAATTTTTAAATAATTTTTTTAAAAAGGTTTATAAGCATGACCCTAAGCTTTTTTTAAAAAAAGGTATTTCAGGAGAACGAAATTTAAGCCTTGGGCTCATAAAGACTGAGCTCGTATGGGCAAGCTCCCCCATTTTTTACCTTTAGATACAACTGAAAATCCAAAGACCAAATCTCAATGTGACTGACACATTAACAAACAAACCACCATTGTTGGCATCCACATGTTGATTGGAAAAGAAATATATAAGTTTAAAAGCTAGTTCAAGTACGTATAACAGGTTCATAAGTCATAAAGACAAGCTTAAAAATCATTTTATGTAAAATAATTTCTTTTTTTAAGTCTGTTTTTTAAAAAATACATTATCCAACAAATTCAATCAATAGGCCGGCCTCGTATTGATCGCAGTGGCTTTAACCTTACCTTTATTTTTTGTCTCTTTAATAACTTGTTTGGGATGAAGAGATATTAGATTTAATTTGGAATTAGTTATTGGCCTAAATCCACTTAATCAATAAATGGCTTAAATCTACTTATTCAATAAGTATCTCATATGATATGATAATAACCATTCAATTTAATTAAATAACTATAACAAATTTTGTCATATAATATGAAGAGAATACCAAATTTCAAATTTTTTAAAAAAATATTATATGTAAAGAATGTTTTAATCGTGATGATTAAATTTTGGGCCCCCTTTCCGGCCACGGTCACATTTTGTGGATCCAAAATGGGATATTGGTGGCCCAATAAAGTAAACCATACAAGTCCAACATTATAAGAACTATGACTCAACATCGGGCCATTGTGAGACGGCCAGAGCACAGTAGGGCCCATTGCTCCACCTCGTCGTCGCGGGCATGCTCCCTAGTCCCTACCTCCCAAGTCCCAAAGACACAGCTTGGCATCAAGCCTGAGGAAAATAAGCCATCAACGTATCTCTTTCTCTTCACATTTCGCAGCTTCCTCGATCTCCCTCTCACTTGCAGTTGGAGGCGTGGCTCTCTCACATCCTCTCTCTCTCTATCACCTCTGTAATCATGGCTTCTTCTGCTCCTCCTTAGCTTTAAAATCACCCGGAATAGTTTACTGTTATCTACGATCTCTAATCCATGCATTGTGCGATGGATTTTTGGAGGCTGTCAAACACTAAGCCTTCTCCAATTTTCTTACCCTTTACACGCCCCTTCAACTGGGTCACTTCCCCATTGCATTGCCATCATCACCTTCATGACCTTGACCCTCCTCTTCAGCCGCCGCCTTTACAGCCACAGCAACAACCACAGCCTTCTAGTCAGGTTTTTCTTGACATGTTACCTTCTATTCTCTCTAGCAGAGTTCTCGATTCTTCTAAGTGTAAAGAACTGATACACCATTTGTCGCCTCGTGATTTTGATCAATTATTCTTTTCTATTTATTCAAATGTGAACCTCAAAACCACTCTTCATTTCTTTCATTTTGCTTCTGATTCTTTCAATTTTCAATTCACGGTTCGGTCGTACTGCCTTTTGGTTCGTTTGCTTCTGGCTTCGAATTATTTACCACCCGCTAGGTTGCTCTTGATCCGTTTGCTTGATGGAAACTTGCCCGCTTTGTTTAGAAACCGTGAGAATAGGCACCTTGATGTAGCTGCTTCTATGTTGGAACTTAATGGACTTAATGGGCGGGGGCATGGTGAATTGGACTTGTTGCTTCATGTTTCCTGTACCCAATTTAAGAAATTGGGTTTGGGTTATGCTATTGATATCTTTTACTCGTTTGCGAGGAACGGTATCTTTCCATCTCGGAAGACGTGTAATTTCTTGTTAAACTCTTTAGTGAAGGCTAATGAACTTGATACGAGTTACAAAGTGTTTGAAGTTATTTGTAAAGATGTTTCTCCTGATGTTTACACATTTACAACCGCAATCAATGCATTTTTCAAGGGAGGGAGGACTGAAGATGCAATTAATTTGTTCTTGAAAATGGAAGAGATTGGCATTTCGCCAAATGTTGTCACCTACAATAATATGATTGATGGGCTCTGCAAGAGCGGAAGATTAGAAGAAGCATTTCAATTTAAAGAAAAGATGGTAAGAAGCAAAGTAGACCCAAGTCTCATAACATATAGCTTGCTTATTAATGCTCTGATGAAGTTGGAGAAATTTGATGAAGCAAATTTTATTTTGGTAGAAATGTTGAACAGTGGGTTTATGCCCAATGTAGTTGTTTACAATACACTAATCGATGGGTTCTGCAGGAAGGGAAATATGAGTGAGGCGCTAAGGATCAGGGATGACATGTTATCTAAGGGTGTAACACCCAATTCTGTAACTTCTAATACTCTCTTACAAAGTTTCTGCAGGTGTAATCAAATGGATCAAGCTGAGCAGGCATTAGATAATATTTTGCGTAGTGGGTCATCTGTTAATCAGGACGCATGTTCTTATGTAATCCACTGGTTATGCAATAATTCAAGGCTCGATTCAGCACTACAATTTGTTAAAAAGTTGTTGTTGAGGAACATTAAGCCCAACGATAGCATCCTTACTTCATTGGTCCATGGTCTCTGTAAGAGTCAAAAACATTCAGAGGCAATCAGACTTTGGTTTAACCTTGCTGAGAAAAGTTTTGTAGCCAATACTGTTACTTCAAACGCTCTTCTTCATGGTCTTTGTGAACAAGGTGACATGCAGGAGGTTGTCACAGTACTAAAAAAAATGCTAGAGAGGGGTTTGGTCTTGGATAGGATCTCATACAACACACTCATTCAAGGCTTTTGCAAAGGGGGTGGAATTGAGGAAGCTTTCAAGCTTAAGGAAGAGATGGTTAAGCAGGGAATCCTGCCAGACATGCAAACTTACAATTACCTTATGAAGGCTTTATGCAGCATTGGTAAAGTGGATGAAACTAACAAGCTTTTGCATGAAAGTAAAGAAAATGGCCAGGTTCCAAATGTCTATACATACGCATTTATTATAGAAGGATATTGTGGGGCTGACAGGATTGAAGATGGTGCAAACTTTTTCAATGAGTTGGTCAGTGAGAAAGTAGCACTAAGTCCTGTTATTTATAACATACTTATTGCCGCCTATTGCAGAATTGGGAATGTAATGGAAGCCTACAAACTATGTGAGGCCATGAAAAGTAGGGGCATTCCACCTACTTGTGCCACATATTCTTCTCTTATACATGGATTGTGCAACATTGGTCGTGTTGATGAAGCAAAAGATATATTTGAAGAAATGAGAGATGAAGGCTTGTTGCCAAATGTCGTTTGTTATACTGCCCTGATTGGTGGTTACTGTAAGTTAGGCCAGATGCATAAAGTGAAGGGAATCTTACAGGAAATGTCTTCAAATGATATAAAACCCAATAAAATTACCTACACTATTATGATTGATGGGTACTGTAAATTGGGCAATATGAAGGAAGCCAATGGGCTTGTAAATGAGATGATAAAGAATGGAATTGCACCAGATAAGATCACTTATGATACACTGGGAAATAGTTAAAGCCAGGAAATGAAGCTGCTAATGCGCTTGAATTTGAACCGTGTGGGCATATACCTAGAAGAGGAATATGCTTAGATGAAATTACATGTACACGTTAACAAAGGTTTGCTTCCATCTACAATACTTAGCGCTCAAATAAACAAGAAATTGTTAAACAGTGGATCTTCGTTGTTGTTTTGAATTTTGTGGTTAATGCTGCTATTTTTTTGCTTGATTTTCAGCTCGTCATCTGGAAGAGAAAGGTTTGATATGCTTAATCTTTGTGCATATGGATTATAGGCAGCATCTCAAGCAGCATGCTCTTCCCTTGGCTGCTTGATGAGGAATGAGCTTTGGAGCTCATAGGTTAGCCTCTTGATATAAGAAAGTGCTTTCGTTTTGCCATGCAAATTACTTATTTATTTTTGTTTCTCTTGTGATGTTTTGGATATATTGATGAATTAAGGTGTTGTTTGGACAATCCATCCTATGCCATTTTTTTCTTGCATAAATATATTTATTTTTCCTGTTATATACTCCTTTTAGAGGTTTTAAATATATTCACTATCATGCTTTCTAATATTTCCTTGGTTTCTTATCATTTTCTTCCTTCTTTTTGGTTTGTCTTTTATAAGACCTCTTTTTGTATTGATAATTATGATGGTGATGCAGTTATATTTTGATCATAATCACAGTTATGACCTATGATTGTATTTGGAACTTAGAAAAATATCTTCCAATATATAGAACGTTTTCTTGCATTCTTAGGATTAGGTCAACTTCAATTCTAAATTATTGGTTTTGCAGATTATACTGAGAAGCTATGTCATTTAGTTATCCATTTATGAGACATGTATCAGTATTGTGTTCCTGGTCAAAAACGGGTTAGTGTTGCTTATTGCATGACATTCCTACATTTGTAGGTGAGGTGATAAAAAATGGCTGTTATTCAATATTTGTTTTATTTGTTGGTGTAGTGATCCATTGCTCATGCTAATTACAGGGTGATGGCTACCAGTACAGCAAAGATGCTTCATAATAACCAGCCAGGTTCTGTCTTTTATTGATCCTTTACTCATTATATGGGTTGACTCCATTATAATTTCTTGGGTTTTTGGGTTTGTTGCTGTTGTCGATATGGAAACCAACTAGCCAATACCAGCGTACTTCATGCAGGCACGATTTAAACAAGAGAAGAGCGAGGATATTGTTAAAGCATCAAGCCAAGGAGATCTCCAATTATATTCTTTTCTTGAATGGTGAGGACCTTCATTAATTTGATTATTCATGTCACATGTCCCAATCATGTTTCATGTGCCCCTGGTGTTCCGTGTTTTATATTCTTTCTTTGGCTGAATGGAGCTTCTATCTGTTACACGATCATAGGTTGTTTCACAAACGACAGTTTCCAATATGAACGATAAACTAAATGAACCTGTGGGGATAACAAAGACTTGAAGAAACTAACTAGAAGATTTTATTGAGGAAACCAGATTCCTTTTCCCTCACCTCAAAATCAGATTTTCAATAGAACAAGGAAGTGGATCGCTCTCCAGATTATGCGCCTAAACCAAGCTGATTTAACACAAAATCTTGTATTGTTTCGTATGATTTTCCCATACCATCCCAAACACTCCCTGCCAAACAGAAGTGCAAGCTTCACCTAAAGACTTCATGGAACATTCTCATGGCGGGGAAATGGATGTTAAAAGAAAAAGGTGCAGTAACAAAGCAGAGCCAGAACTCGCGCTTTCTGGGGAATTTTTTTTGGATGTTTCAATGCTGTTTTGTTCTGCTGGACACTGTATAGTTCTCAATCTGCACTATTTTCTGCAAGTTCTTGCTTGTGGCTTGGACCTTCGTTGATTTTCTAGCTACTATGATGCCTTGAATCTAAGAAGCTTCTGATTATTATGACGGATTCCTAGTTGCAATCCAGCTTCCTGTTTGTGGGTAAGGCCTTATCCGCTTCTTCTGTTGTTCTGGATAACTTTTTAACACGTGTTTAGTTTTTAATTTACATTTGATAAAAGTATATTTAAAAGATTCAACTATTTATTAGATTTGACAAGAGCATATTTCAAATGTAATTTGAATGTTTGTTTTAGGGTTATCCAATCAGTCCCTTAATTCTTATTTTTCATGAGTACAAGAATCTTGCTTTAGATGGTGTTCAGTTATTTTGATAATTTATTATCTTAGATAAAATCTAGTTTACTCTTGTAATTTGATCTAAAACTAGTTTTCTCTGTTTTTTTTTTATTTTAAATGTATCATTCGAATCTCTAATGTAGTAGTTAAAATGTTAAAAAAAATTTGTTGAAAGCATATTTCAATAAGTTTCAATTTCAAATAATTTTATAATATTTCAATTATTATTGAAATTATATTAACATTTTAGATCTGAGTATATATAATAGTATTTGATAAAAATTCAAAAAAAAGAAGAAGAAGAGTAAAAATTGAAAAATAAAAATCACATAATAAGGTTGAACTAGATTTTTGTTTTCATGATAGAGTAAATGAGTAATGATAATTTGACAAATTTTTGGAAGAAATAGAAAGCAAGATTACGAAAAAAGACGTGTGAGAGTAAAAAAATTAAATAGAAAAACAAACCAATGCACCATTTGTTAGGCATTTTGGGTTTAGAATTAGATCGCTGCCCTACCGATCTTGGCATGGAGGGCGTTGGATGAATCTGACAGTATCTCTTGCGCCACGACACTAGGAAGCTAAGTGCATCATGACCGTATCTTAGCATCCAAAGGCCAACGATTATTATGTTTTGCCTGCAAAAACCAAACCACACCAAGCCATACCCATTCTCGTGGCTGATGGTTAGAATTGAAAAATGAACGGACTTGATTTATATAAACTTAACTTTTATGAGTCTAATTCTAAAAAAATTTAAGTTTTTACGTTTGGTTTTTTTAAAATAATTTATTTTTTAAAGCTCAATATTTATATAAAAAGTTTAGAATTAGGCTCGTAAACTCTTATTATTTTTTATTTTTTAAAATTTTTAAAAATTAAAATTTTTAATTATAATATTTTATATTTTTTTAAAAAAATTATAATATTTAAAAATTAAAAATAAAAAATAAAAATTTTAATTTTAAAGTATAAACATATATTTTAAATTTTAAATTTAATTTAAAAATTAAAAATATTTTACATTAGGAAAAATAAAAATGAGTTTAAAAAGATCATTCGAGTTCGAACTCAATTTTTTAAGATTTATAAATACCGAGTTTAAAAGCTCGATTTTTTTTTAAATTATCATTTTTTTAAATTTAAATTTAAATTTTTATAAAAATAAATTTAAATAGACAGTTTTTCAGACTTTGATTTTTATTCTTGATTCTACTTATCGCTCTTGGCTCGCACATGCGTCCAATCTTGACTCTACTTATCGCTCTTGGCTCGCACATGCGTCCAATCCGCAGTCACGTGCCTTTGCATGAGCGACGGTTCGTCTGTTCCTCCGCTTAGTGGCCGATTGCACCGCCACAACTAAGACCAGCCACACGCTCTCCGCTGTGTCGATCATAGTGTCCACACTTCGCTTTGGCATCTTCTGGCGACGACGGTCCGGTGTAAGCTCTCTGGCTGTTCCAAGTGGTCACGCGATTGCGTCCGTAACTTTATTCCACCACCTTCGCACGGTTTCGGATAAGTCGCAGCCTGACGCGGTAGCTTCCATCGCCACGCTAAATGCGTCAGCTAACTTGGATGATCGTAAGTTTCTGCGCGTGGACTTCTATGAATTGCCAAAATATAGTGTTCAATCTGACGCCTTGACTTGTGATAGATAAAGGCGTAAAGCTGTATATTGCAGAGAACTGATTGTAGTTGCTTATTGCTTGTTATCATGTTGAAGAGTATATCTTTGGGAATTCCTATGTGTGACTACCAAGCATTCCCTAACCACAGCTCCGTTAATTTTGTTTGAAGATCTTATTTGTGTTTCCCATGGCAAAAGTTTATCTTTTCAGGTGAAGTTGTCCAAGTTCAACCCCCAAAGAAACGGATCCAAATCCAGCCATTTTGGTTTGTGGATATTTATTAGGAGGCATACAAGAGAGTAAAACTGAATTGACTCCATTAATCATCCCACGTATCTTGCATCTTCACTGGTTTTGATCAGTTCAGTTTGATGAAGCTAGAGAGAAACAGCAAAATCACTGTAGGCTGTGGGGAGGGCCACAGCAAGGTGCCTCTTCAACAGAAAAGTCGCATGAATTTGTCCCCACGCTGCTTCGTTAATTATCAGAAGGTTCAAGAATTTACTGACCTGATCTGAAATTGATAGTCCCAACTCAATACTATTGGCCCAATGCTTTCTCAAAAGTTAACCTTCTCTTCATTATTTCATAAATCAGATTGGCCATGAATTTGTTGTCATTCTCTCAGAGAGACAGAGACACAGAGAGAGAGAGAGAGAGAGAGAGAGAGAGAGTGAAAAGTCTTGTGCGAGTGGTTAGAACTTAGAAAGTCCAGCACGATTTCTCAAACTTCAATTTCATGTCAATTTTTATTTCCAAATTTGAGTTCAGTGGGTTCCATTCCCCTGTAGTCTCGATTTTCCTATCTGTGCTCTGTTGTTTTCAGATTAGTTATTCCATATTATCAATCAACACATCAAGGGCTTTCTCTAGAATCAAGATGGGTCACTAATGGTTAAAGTTTTTAATGCTGAAAGACACTTAAATCTTTTTCCAAAAATAGTAGCAATAATTTAATACCTACTTTAATCTTCATTGAACAAACGACGTTTTTTAATACTTAAAAAATGATGAAATTATGTTCCGTAATTTAATAACCAATAATAATGATATTTTAACAAGGTTAAAAACAGGCATGATGACAAATTATTCATTCCATGGTAAATTAAAATTTGGACGTCTTTTAATACTTAAAAAATGATGAAATTATGTTCCTAACCAATAATAATGATATTTTAACAAGGTTAAAAACAGGCATGATGACAAATTATTCATCCCGTGGTAAATTAAAGTTTGTGTTTTACTGCTTTAATCACAATCCCTTCTCAACAACCTATGTGGTTTTGTGATTTAACAAGTCTATCGGTCTCAAAAGACTTATTGCATAAATTTTAAATATTGAAAGATGATATTAACTCCATTAAAAGTTAAAAGTAGAGATATTAGATTGCAACTGTGACAATATTAAAGGCTAAAAAAGTGTGTGCAAACCAAATCATAATGATATTATAAAAAGATGACAAGAAAATATACGAGGCCCATCCTGCAACGTGAGTTTCTTAACATGTTAATCAGTATCAGTTATCTGATTTAGTTAGCATTAACCATCGAATTCACAGAAAATAACACAAGTAACAGTCCACATTTCATGATTGTCAATCTTTTCTAAGTACAGAAACGTATGTCAGAGAAAGACCAATGACATTTTTACTCAGAATTTCATTCTCGTTGGAGAATTTATGGGGGCCAAACTCCTCTTTTCAGACATACATTTTAAGTTAGCCAGAATGAAGCTCCCATAGGCCACAAATTTTCGTTCTCTGTACAGCTCCCCCATCCCCTAACACATGAATAAGTCCACTCTCAGCCACGAAGGCAGAGAGATAAGTTCCGTAAGTACAAGCTGGTGCCATTGTCCATTGATACCACAAGCAAGCAAAACTTCCTCACAACTTGCAACAATGCAATCAATAAATGTGTCCATTATATTTTTTCCCTTATAGATAAAAGGAAAAGCACATGGGTGGTCCTAAATCAAGAGAAACGAAATTGACTTCAAATTTTCGTCACTTCAAAATTAACACTCTCTCTGTGATCCACAGTGGGAGATCTGCGACCTTCTACAAACCAGTTGAGACTTGAGGGCGAGGTATCCTTTATATCACCAAGAAGTTAAAGTTAATGAATATGACTGTGCTAGCCACCCCCCTTGTCCAAACAGGCCCCACACTTCACGTGCATATTTCTTAATTTCTGGTTGCCCATTTGTTAGTTCTCGATATTTAGCCGCTCAATTACTAGCTGATATTCTTTCCAAAGAACCCTTATCTTCTCTAAGCTGGCCTCTATATAAAGGATTATCTAGTCACTCTTCCTAATCAGACAACCCGAGAGAGAGAGAGAGAGAGTGAGAAGCCACACCTTCAGCTCCATGCAAGCACAACTTGCTAGCAATATAACATTCCAGCAGGCTAGGGGAAAGGAGCTAATACGGAGAGCAGCTTCCAGAGAAAGAGCTCCTTGCTCACTATCCCATCGCCATAACTCTCTGTATCACCGAATAGGCAATGCCAAGGGTACCCATCCTGCAGAAAGCAGCCTCACAGAATACAGTACTGAACATGAAGAGTGTGCAAAAGGTAGTATAAAAGCACCAAAGACTCATCAGCTTGGCTTCTCTTATCTTGCATTATCTTTTCATTACATCGTAAGGAAGGTGAAAGCCTTTTACAATGGATTCCTCGGAGGCGTTGCTAGTGAATCAATGATGGGAAGTGAAGCATCAACGCTAGAGCCATATTTCTCAATTCCAGTCCTTCCACACCCATGATTTTCTCCCCCTGTGCATTAAATTGTCTGATTTGATAAGAATATCACAGAATAATCCAAAACTTGCGTGTTTGTTGTGTTAATTTTGTGTTAATCTATATCAGTAATATATCAGCACTAATGATCAACCAGATTCTAGTATGAAAACAAAACTATAAATATCGCGTCTACCATGCTTTAAGCTCCCAAAGGCTCACATGCAAAGTTGAAATGTGTACTACATGATATTTGTGCAGTTAGTTGCTGAGTGAGTGCTTCCCAGGTATAGATCGCAGACAATAGCTGCACGAAGCATGTGAGATCACTGTAGTGCCGATTATGTATTTCTGCTTGAGAAAGCAACATGCATTATTGACTGGAAAAGGATAAATACCCACGCCTTTTCTAGTTCTTATAAACATGAGATCACTTCTCTAGTTCTTTCTTCTTTGATGTCCAAAGGCACTTTTTCTGGATCAGCAAAGTTACCTTATTCTCTCTTTATACTAAGATGGCAAGGAAAAGAAATGGTGAACGAGGTCAAATAGTCACCCAAAGTCCAAAGACAATACACATGTCAAACCTACCAAGGGAGAAAAACATCTTGATCCTTTTGAGAAGAAGCAACTTATGAGGCAAAGACAACACTCCTCCCCGTTAAACAAGCGGAGAATTTGATTAACAGTAATGAGGCACACTCTCAAAATGGAGATGTCTTCTTTTTGAAAAACCAAAACATATGACCTATTGCTATCACTATCTTCAAGTCCTACAACCTAGAAGAAAGTTATAATTACTTTGATGCACGTTCACACAGTAATAACTAGGGAGAATGCAACCTATAGAATAGGGCTCGTTCAGATTTGATCTTTGCATCCGAATCCTACTCATTTCCAATCTATCCAATCTTATCAGATCTAACGGTTATTTTCACCCACATTCTATCGCTGTTAGGTTGTATTTTATTAAAGTTGCCATCAAAAGTTAATTATAAACAGCCACGCATCTGAATAGTCTTTTTTTTTTTTTTAATTGAAGGGACTAGCTACAAGCTAGAGTAATCTACAGACATCAGGCACTGGTCGGTGTGACATTCGCTCCAGCTTTTGTCATACAAAAGAATATTGGCAGTCTCTAGGAGTTTCATAAAGAAGTGAAGTCTGGTAAGGAGAGCCGTGGGTCAATTTGGCCGCACGCATCTGAATGGTCAACATTATTTTCTAGAAAGATATCGAATCAACGTTCAATGTTGAAAGTGAAAAAATTGAGAAGAAAGTAAAAGGAAAAAAGATAAAGAGTGCTTGGACTTTTGTTGGACAAAACAAAATCAGTTGAACAATATCTGATTTGCACATAGTAACTAAATTAACATCAATATTGCCTCAAGCTCCATGCATATTCACGGTTCATGTCGGGCTAGGCTCTATACAAATGCGCAATGGCCACTCTAGTTTCACTCAATTTCTTACACTGACCATTAATTGGGCATCATGCCAAGATTACCGGTAATCTTTTAAATGTCAAGGGGACGAAAGTGGTATTTACCTTCTTTTGAAGGAAAGAATATGCAAGAATCTTAAGGCCCCCCCATATAATTTATATCTTTAGCATCTAGTGACATGAATAACACCAATCAAGATTCCCTCCGAAATAAATAAATAAATAACACCATTCCAGATATAAGAATCACATTCAAAATACATAACCCAACGTTAAATTTGAACACTCAACAAGAATCACATTCAAAATGCAAAACCCAATGTTAACAGATCCCACATACCATGAAACAGAACCATTAAATTGTTTTAACTTTTTGTGCATGTTAGTGGATTCTTGATTTCTAAATTGCTTATAACAGATCAATTGATGCACACAAACATTGAGAAGGTAGACATCATTTGCATGGTGATGTTAACCAAACCACAAAAGGGCAACTCCCCTGCCAGCGGGAAGTCTAAGTTAACGGTCCCTAACTTGAAACAGCAACCTTCACAGACATAGTCACCGTGTGATGGTGAATTCGATGGGCCCAGCAGGGAACCTATCAATAAAAGGTGGTTATGCAAAGGACGTATACTAATAATCATAACAGACAGATGAGAGCATTCCAGAAGCAAGCAGGACACAATAAATTGAAAATAAAGTCTAGTAAGCAGCTATGTTATTTCGATATTCTCTAGAGTTTACCATACCTCGATTAAACAATTTCGCAAACATTATGCGTGCAAGCTACGGAATCAAGCGAACTTCAGACTGGAGATTGCATTGTTAAAGTGTTAATTTGAATACGATCGAGCATAGGAACTACGAAGAATATAATAATCGTCCTGGATTTAGCTAAAAGGCAATGGAAAATCGAGCTCCAAAGGGACACTATTTTTTTTTTTTTTTAAATAATATGAGGGACGCTTGTGATGGCCACAACCAAAAACCGATCGGAATCATGCTAGTGGAGGTGAAGTGAGGAGAGAGTCGGTCGAGAGGAACCGACTCCCGGAATCATCTCCATTAGAGCGTGGCGTTTACAGATCAAAACTCAAACGGGCCCAATTTGTAAAGCCCAATTTCTCCTATGACCCCAATAAAATGGAGTACAACTAGGGGTAAGCATTGTTCACTTTGGTCCGGTGCCAAAAATGTATAAAATTGATCAAACAAGTAATACTGAAAACATTGACCGAATTGAACTGAATAAGGTAATCAAACTAAATAAGGACTGAATTAAAATTTTGCAATTTAATTTAATTAGTTAATTCAATTTTAAACTTCATGTTAGACTGCTTGGACTTGGGATAAATTTGTTTTTTTTTCTACTAAGAAAAATTAATTTTTTAGTCTTTTAACTTTTAACTTACTTGTAACTCAATCTCTCAACTATGACTCGCTTATAATTCAATCCCTCAACTTTTAACCCATTTATGACTCAATCTCTCAACTTTTGTTAGTTTTCTTTTTTCACATTAACTTAGATCCCACATCAAAGAGTAAGAGAAGGGTATTTTAAAGCAAGATATGAGCATTTCTTTTGTCTCTTTATTTTATAAGGATAATTTAAAAAAATTGAAAAATAAGGACTGAATTATGAGTGGGTCAAAAGTTAAGGGATTGAGTTACAGTAAGTCATAATTGAGAAACTGAGTCATAGCAAGTCATAATTGAGGGACTAAGTTATGAGTAAGTTCAAAGTTAAAGGACTAAATAATTAATTTTTCTTTTATACTAAAACAAACAAGGTTTATATATAAAATTGGGCTTGTAAAGTGATAGTAGCCTATTATAATGAGAGGTTAGGTTTTCAACTTATCAAATGATATATTTACTTTTATTTAAATATAAAATTTAAGTATAAAATTAAAAAGAATAAAATAAAATAATAATTAATAAAATAAATATATTTTATAAATTAATAAATTATATACGTATATAATAATTCGATTGGTTTGGTTTATTCAATTTTAAATCTTATTAATCAAATCAAACCAATCAACCAAAATATTTTTTCAAAAAAAACCTAATCAAATTAAAAAACTGAATAGATCGAATCAAATAATAAAAACTCTATTCAATTTGATTCAATTTTTAGTTCAGTTTTGTTAACCCCTCTGCCATTACTAGGGGGCATACTTGGATAAAATAACATAAATGGGGTATGTGTTTTTATATTTTGCAGTTTGCTCCCTTTCTTTTTATGCCTTTCACCTTTTATTTTAATATTTTAAACTTTAAATCCATTTCAATATTATATTTAACCCATATTTAAAAGTCAATTTTTTTAATTCAAAGCCTAGTGAATATTTGCCTTTGATTTTATTCTACCTAAATATTAATACTATATATTAATCCTTTAAAAAATAGGAGAAAAAATAATTTGACTAAACTAAACATGCGTCATCCTCGTCTTGAAAATACTAGTCAAGAACTAGTTAGGAAAAAAAGAACAAAGAATGAAGATTGAAGACTTAAGAGTAAACTTGTTTAATGCTTTTCGTTCGTTGTACTTGCAAATCTACAACTAAAAGTTAAATTAAGAAACAAAGATAAAGAAAAAAAAAAGAGAAATAGTGTATTTGAAAGAAACAGAAAGGTTTTTCTTGTACCAAAATCTTGGTTCTACCCCCAAACTTAGAATCATGGCTCCATCGTTGCTCCTAAGTATAGTTAAGAAATATTCTCTCTGTTAAAAAATGTAAGGCATTATTTTTTGAGGGGTTAGATGTTAAAAAATGTAAAGTATTTTTAATTTTTTAAAGTGTAATTATTTTTTTTCAAAAGTGTCTCTATTGAATAAATCACTTTATATTTATTTTAGGGTGAAATATCCTATTAAATAGAGGTAAATATAGAAAAATATGGTTAGTTTGAAAAATAAGTAACAAATTTATTGGGGTGAGATTTGGTTAAAAATGCTTTACATTTTTTAATAAAAGGAGTATATTTTTTCTATATAAGAAAATTCAATTATTGTTAATTATTTACACCTCATAATTTTAAAACAATAAGAAAAAAATTATCGACAAAATTCAACCATATTTATTGACAAAAAATATATATTTGCTATGTTATTATTATAATATTTTCAATAACTTGATATCGAATAATAGTGCTATGTAAGAGTACATGCCTCTTATTTTTTAAAGGCTCAATTATTTTTTTTAATTACATAGGCAAGTTAAAAGTTTGAGATGATGAGTGGGATGTTATGGATGTAAAAATTTCACATATTACTCTTATATTTGTATTTTAAATAAATAGTTTAAAACTGCTTTTTTCTTGAAAAAGATGAGATTGACAAGAGAAATGTGAAGAGTTAAATTGAGATTTCTTGCATATGTTCCTTTGTAAAAGAAAACAAAAGAGTGATACAAAAAATGTATAGCATTATTCAATATTTATTTTTATATCTTCATATTATATCCATAATTTTTTTAAATACAAAGGCCACAGCAAAACGTGCATGAAGACTAAGCTTTAGTCATATCTAAAGCCAGAAAGCTTTTACAGTCATTTGATGGTTCATTTAAGATCAAAATATTAAAGTTCTCCAAATAATATCTACAAGCCAAAAAATCAACGCGACTATTTG